GTAAAAGAAAAAGGAAAAAAATTCCTAACAGAAATTCTTGAAACAAAATAGGGACAAACATTTGAAGAGATTCTTCTTTGTAACATAATATTTTCAAGAATACGACATGTTTTTTCTTTCTGGGGAAGAATGGTTGTAGTTCTAAGATCTTGGTTTATACTTATCTTATTCTAAGATCTTTGTCCTTGAGTACTCCCATCATTAACATCAAGGTTCTTTCTGGAAACAACAGAGATACCTTCCTCTGCTGTTCTGGAAATCACTGGTGTTTTGTGCAATATGTAATTACATATACATTTTGTAGAGACAATGGAAAAACAGGAGACCTCTTTACTTTAAATGAGATAAAATTAAATGGTTTTGAATTAGGAACTCTTCTAGTTTGATACTGGCAACAGGAAACACCAGCTACTACAATCTTGTGAGGAAGCCCAGGAGCAGTGAGAACTGCTCAGCTCCCATAGCCATACTCGCCTCTCATCTGTGGCTAAGTGGGCAGACAGTAAAGCACATGTTTTCTCCAGAGGCAATTCCCACATATATTTTGAGGTAAAGGAAAGGACTGAGCCCTAGCATGAAGTGATTCCCATCTCCAGGACTGAAGATACGCTTTTCCCATGAGCAAGTATCTCCTTCCTCCTCTCTGTCACTGTGTTTATATGTAAAGCAAATAGAACAGAAATTTTTGTCTTAGCCTTATTAAAAGGTATTAGCAGGTTTGTACATGAAGAAGAGCCATAGTTTGCCCCGTTTTAGACATATGTAATCATGTAGTCTGAATAATCAGTTTCTGTAGGTCCTTAAATTTTACACAAAGTGTTTTCAGTAATATTCATCTGTTGTTGCATACTTAATTGTAAAACAGTGTTTTTCCTGTAGTTTTATAACATAGAATGTTTGTAATATATGTCCTCAATAATCAGATGTAATGCCAAAGCCAAGAGGGATTTGACTTGTGTATTTGCAAATTTGCTGTTGCCTCAGAATGTAAAGTGAAATACTGAGGCCAGAATTTTTTATTACAGCATGATAATGAGATGCTTAGTAATAAACGTAGCTGAGTGAAAAAGAGGTACAGGTAAGTGAACACAAATTTTCATACTTCATGATATCAGGTGGTGGTAGAGATCAGAAAGGGTTAAATTTTTTCTTTGACATTCACTGAAGTCCCAAACTCTGAATCAACTAGTAACAGTCTTATCTACGTAGATGATACATTTAATTTGATGTGGCAGTTTTCCATGCTAGGAGTTGGATACTGAGCTATTGTCTAAGTAGGGTTTCCAGAATCAAGTTGAACATGGTGTTCAGTACTGTTCTGTTTCATAGTACAGTCTTGAAAAAAACCCTTTGAAATGCAAAATATATATTTTAGTGAATGGCAATTCTATTTTTGAGAATTCCAATTTGACCTGTTTTTGAAGAGCAGACCACCAGATCCACAAAAGACTTTAGATCTCCAAAAGGACTTTTAAGTAAGGGTTTAAGTAACAAAGCCTAATTTGATCTGTAAAGAACCTTTCAGATTTCCCCAGGAGTCTGAATTATCACTGTTGAATTCCCTCATTGCTCAAAGCTCTGCTTTTCTTTGTATCCCCAATTCTGTCCATCTTCTCAGGGCTTAGCAATGTGTTGTTGTCTGTTTGCTTTGCACCAAGTGCCTGTCAGTACTTGTTTTGCCATCATCAGAGCAGCTCTAGCATCTGTCTCCTAATCCAGGAAGCATATTTTTACCATCTCTACTATATGCCTGCTGTATTGGTCCATATACAAAATGTATTCCATCTTTTCCAATCTTACTCTGTATTAGTTTATCTGAGTGAAAATTATGTACAGTGCCATTGCACAGTCTCCATATGCTGCTGATCTGCAACATCGTACATTATACAGGAGATAGAGTTCTTACTGCTTCCTTCCCCCAAGGAAGGATATTCTATATATGACTGACAAATTTGAGACCATTTTTTTGAAATTTCCTCTTTCTAGAACTTGCATTTCTCTGTAAAATGTGGTGAAAACTAGACATCTAGTTCAAAATTAGTAGGAGTAGTGGCAAATAGAGGAACAGAGCATTTCAGATGGATTCTTCCTTTTGAAAATAGTTTAAAATTATGATGAGCTCATATGTTGCCTCATGTAAACTATTTAGTTGGTTTAGAGCATGTGGCCAAGAATTGAGAAATGTACACTTGGCTTCAGTTTTCTCTTCTATCTGATGGAGCACCATCAGGTGTTCTGCATCACAGGGAAGTTACAGGCTTTTTGGACAAGCAAGTGCATTGTATTTAAAACTCTATGTATAAATCTTGGCTGACTTTGTAACCATTTTAGCTTTGTGTTGACTGCTTCACCAGTGGCAGATTCCTAGGGAATAGCATTTAGATAGGATGTGGTCCTCCAAGAAACCTAGACAAGAATGTTCCTCCCTAAGATGTCTCATTGTGGTGTTGTTTCACTTCAGGTTATTTAAATATTATTTGTTAGGGGGTTTTTTTGAAGATAGGAAATATGTTGTATATAAATTATGACATCATTGATAAGTTTATTGAAATAATACAAGTGATAAAGTTTTTCAAATGAAAATTTCTTAAATGTGGGATTTTTTTGAACTGTTTTGAATAACTTTTTCATCCATATGTGTGTTGCTGAGGTCTTTCTGTTCTTGTTATTCCTGGAGCCACTCATGCTTTAAGTACTGTAAATAGTCAAAATCCTGCAGGACGTTCGATAGCATATCTTACATAAGTCTTTGCAGGACCTTGACCCAAGAGCTTTTAAAACTTAATTTCCAAAATAATCACTTTCACTGTACGCAGCAGGATATGGCAGAAAAGCCACATGGATTAGTTTTCTTGAATAATGCCGAATTCTTCTCTGTGTAAGGATACATTTTCCAACTCCTACATTTCTTTCACTGTACATAAGCTATTACCTTGAGAATAAAAACACAGATTTTTGATGATAGCTGAAACATCTACAAATTTTTCTTTTACTTCATGGGAAATAGGCATGTTAATACTAATGGATAAATTTGACTTATCTGTGAAGGGGTATATGCACACTGTCTAAACATAGGCATTTACAGTCAACAGAGGCTTTCAAGGGCAATTACAGTGTTCCTTTTCTAAAAAATCCTTCAGAGGCTTAATTAGCCAGAGCAGCTACCAGTAGCTACCAGAAGTCAAATAAGCTAAATTTACTCAACCACTTAATGTTCCTTTATAGTCCTAGTAACTCTTACTATTATTACTAGAGTTAGAGTTAATAAATAAATAAATACTATAACATAGTAGTAAAAATATAATTAGTAAAATAGTTTGCTTAGTTTGTAAGTTTCCTGAAACAAAATTACTAAGGAACTGTATTTGACATAAAAGCTAAAGACAAGACTGTCAGAATCATTCTGAACCTGAAATGTGTACTGTTTCCTTGTTTCTGACATCCCTGTCTTTACTGTTCTGTAAATTGGTTGAGCTAAAGGTAGTGCTTGGACCTCAGCTGAATTTATGCAATGTATCTATCAGCCTCCACGTTAGACCAGTGTGTGTGAAGGGTAGGTTTCAGAAGCAGAAAAGCAATGCAAGTCTCCTCTAAGAGTTAATTGCACGTGATGCTTCTGCTGAACTAACTTTCTTCAATGCAAGGTAGATATAGTTCGGTTACTTAAATCAATACACAATAAAATGCTTGCAAGTTTTTCAGATAGATGGTATGACTGATGATCAAAGGATTATTTTTTTAAACATGCAAATTATATACACACACATTCATTCTTATATTTGACTGCAAGTTCATTTTTAGTCATAGTAGTATTGATTTTCACTTAAACGCCTTAAATGACATTATTCACTATCTACATGGGTTTTTCCAGGGTCAGGTATTTTGCATGTTCGTGTGTTACAATGATTTGAAATGAAAAATGGAGTAAGTCTTTGTATTACTCTGTAATTGGTTATGCACATGTCTTTAAGTATTCCAGGAGGGCTTCCCTTTTCATTGCTATTCTCTGATCCAGCCTTTGCATAGTGTTAATAGTGGGATATTGTTGGGGTTTTTTTTAAACTGTAATGTTTGGTAAACAAAAAAGGGTGTGTGAGCTAGATCTAGCTCATCAAGTAACCCAGGTAGCCTCCTACCTCTCTGCTCACATTCCTTAACTCTGTGCGTCCTGTTACTAAAATTCAATTGCTGCATCATTGCAGGAACAGACCTGCACTAGTCATGTTGTGTTGGGTGCTTTTTGGCCATGTGCTAAATGCATTCCTGCTCACACAACAAGAGAGAAATGTCTTCATTTAAGAGAAAAATGTGACCTATGACAACCAGGTTTGGTGAGTAGAAAATGCTAAAGGAATGCAAAGGCAGGTGGACATTAAGAAGTTACCACTTATTGTAAGCATGGGTGAACACTGCCAAATGCAATTACTGATCCTGGTTTTGGATGGGCTTCCCTTAAGATGACAGATTTTTATAAGGAGGCACAGAGAAGCTACTTTCCTAATATCATGTTCTTTGTGGATATTTGGTCTTTGAAGCCCAAAAACTTTTGGCAGCCAAAATTACAGGTCTTATTATAAGCCTTAGCCAAATAATAGCACAGTATTTTCATTTCACCTCGTAAAGATAAGCACCCACATTCATACTTTGGCCAGATTCTGATTGTTAGAAAATCAGAATAACTAAGAAACAAGATTCATTTTTTCTTATGAAAATTTAATTGATATCTGTTAAACAGTATTTGAATATGAACTTTTGGCATTTAACTCTGTTGCTTTTATACTGGGGTTCCTAATTGTGATATATCTGTTACATGTGGGTGTGTATTGCATTTGGCCCAATCACTGAGGTATTTACCAGATTTTTATTTAACTTCTTTGCAGTGTGAAATTTCTCTGGATGCTTCTTTTTTTCTCCTCTGATGCTCAGGAGAAAGAAAAAAAGGCACAAGAAAACACACAGCAGGTCTTGCTCATTTTCCTTTCTTTGCTTTTGTTTTACAGGAGACACATGAAATTGTGGCTATCAAGAAATTCAAAGACAGTGAAGGTAACCTTTTCTGCTCCGTGATCTTTTCTGTAATAACTACATTGTTAATATCTCTCCAGTTGAAATAAGAAGTCTCATGTATCAAGATATGATTTAAAAATTATAATGATTCATTAGCTTTGTGAATATTCAAGATACTTAATCCTTCATACCTGCCTAGGGACTGCATTATACACTAACTAGATAACTACCTTTCTTTCTTGATGCATCTGTCTTAATATGGCTGAGATTGTGGTGTCATATGCAGGAGTAAGATCTATCATTTAGAGACTGGATGTGACTAGGAAATGTAAAAAAACTCCTCTTGTAGTAGTAGCTTGCACAGTCTTTGGCTTTATCACACTTCATCTGTGAGAGGGGATCTAAATGTTAGGGCGATTTGAAGCGGTAAATGGAGGAGACTGAGAGAAGTCCCTGAGAAGTTCAGTCATACGAGGACAAATCCAGAAGCTCCCAGGGGTCCATGGAGGAAGCTGGGTGGTGAGGCAGCTGCTCTGTCCTCACTGGAGCAGGCTCCACTCTCTTCAAGAAACTTGCTCTTTGACCCCTCACAGCAGCCTGTGTACTCTGCAGTGTTGCTGAAGGGAGGAAGACCCAACTTCTGCGAGGCTTACTGTTGCTGACGAAGGGGGTGGCAGAAGGCAGGACACGTGGAAATTATTCTGAATGCTGCACGCCCCCATTCCTCACCCAGTAATACACCCAAAGAACTGAACAAGACAAGACTGTCTCTCTGACCTGCACTTGTTGGGGAACAGTCAATCACCATATTCTATCATAGGAAAAACTGGCAACCAACCACGGCAGCAATTGTCTGCCTTGTGTACATGAGAAGTTAGCCCCGATCCCTAATGGCCTGGCACAAACAGAAGGAGAAGACAAGTATGAAGTAATAAGAGGAGTCAGCCCGGTCTGATGAAATGCAGCTGTGGTTTGCCATGTACTGAGGCTTTAGCTGAAAGCTAGGAATGTTGTTTCAAGAAATAGCAGCCACTTTATTTTAGTGAACTTTTATTTTCTGTTATTGTTTTAGGATTGGTGGTGGCCATGGAGGTGTTGTTGGTTACAAGGCCTGTAATTTTCAGAGTTACAGCAGAGTCTGATTTGCCTCTTGTTTTGCTCAACGCAGACTTCTGCTTTGCAGGTCATTTTTCCAGACACTTGAAGAGCATATTTGATGAATGTTTTAGCTCTGCTATTTAGAAAGCTGTTCTAAATCCCTGTTAAAGAATGCAGGAGATAGTTTAATTGTGGTGACCATCTTGACCAAGTAATGAGTGTACTTCAGAATTTCTTTTTGGAACTTGCTGTGGCTATTCAGTACAGATCATAGGCAATAAATCTCAGTTTTAATTAAACCTCAAACAAGATTATTATATTAGCCTCTCTACCAAAAAATGAAAACAAAAAATGCAACATTGCCATTAGGTCTGGCTTTCCAAGAGTATTACATAATGTCAGTTTACATGACTGATGACTGCTTTTCAGAGCTGTAGCTAGTTGTTTACGAGCTTCTGGAAATATGACAGAAGTTCTTTTGATGGATTTGATTCAGCCCATTTCACATCTGTCTTGTTAATATGTAGTTCATTAGAAATTTGAATATTCTGTAATTGTTTCTATTGACACTTTTGTTTCACTGAATCTTTGCCGGTTTTTGACATATGAATGCTAAATGCGCTCAAAAGAGTCTGTCTCGCAATAGATGAGATTATGTAATCAGGCTGATGCAAGCCAACATCAAGCACTCAGTTTTAAAATGAAAAGATTTAGATTGCTCTAAATTATATATTTTTAATCAAAACATTTGTGATTATAGTATTTTGTTTTCCTCTTCCCTCTTGCTACACTTGATTTTTTTTATTTTTTCCCCTCTCTCTTCTGTTGATGATTATTGCATTTGCATGATCTGTGTTATTCTCTCTCCTCTACAAACCTGGTTTTGCCTTTTGCCCTGGAAAAACAAGTTCTCTTCCTTGTTTTTAATTCCTCTGCCTCTGGCTGTCTTTGTGGTACATGACCTGCAGATGTGATTTAGCTTGGAATTTATGCAAACACATCTCATTTAATATCTCTCTGTTGTGGATAACAGTTCTAAGAGGCTAAGAACCCTATTTCTATGTGTGCATGAGCAAATTTACTGAATTAATGGATTTCACTTTACTAAATGAAAAATAAAACCTAATGTAGTCTAGTTTACTTCACATTTCATTAGCAGTGTCCTTTAGAACCCAGTTAGTTCAAGGCCCTATAATGATAAACAGTGTATGGAGCATTAATAAAACATTCCTTTCTTGAACACCTTTCAGAGAATTAAATTGTCAAATCAGTTAAATTAAGTTGTCAAAACAGGTAAATTTCTGGATTCCTCTGAATTAGATTCAAAGCTTCATTGCATCAATACTTACTCTGCTGCCTTCTGTAGCTGCTACACTGGGCTGGCATTGCTGAATTTCCTTTGGAAGCCTTGTGGGGAACTTACAGGACTTACAAATCTGTGCTTGGGTCTTAAAATTTGTTTGTTCTTTAGTAAGCTTACTATGTCACTTTTACTTTGCACTCCAGAAAATGAAGAAGTCAAAGAAACCACTTTACGAGAGCTTAAAATGCTTCGCACTTTGAAACAGGAGAACATTGTGGAGTTGAAGGAAGCCTTCAGAAGAAGAGGAAAATTATACTTAGTTTTTGAATATGTGGAAAAAGTGAGTTGAGTTTGTAGTATCCTTGCCACAGTTAAATCACCAGCTTACTGAAAATGTCTTTAAAATTGCTTTTATTTTTAAAAATTAAGCTATTCTATTCTATAAAGAGAAACAGCAGAAACATTAGTACGTCTGAGTTGTAATTAGACATCCGTTGTGAGAGAGCAACCCTGATAACTTTACTACTGTTTTTAGATCATGTGTTGGTACTTTTTAAAAAAAAATTTTCCATATATATGAACTCAAATGTCGACAAATTATGTAGACTGGAATACATATGATTTGAAGAAAAAATTCAGTCTGAACTCTTTAATCCAGTTTAATTGTAAAGCTGGATAACTGTCCTGTGTTATGTTGTGTAATGAATCTTGACGTAGTCTTTCAAAACAGGATCATACACTTTTGACCTTGGAATCTCTTTCAACTTTCTCCATCCTTCCCTGTTAAAAATAGGATTTGTTTGTGTATTTCTGTAACAAGGCCACTATCAATAGTTGCTTAGAGGGATTTGGCAAAGATCACTGTCATTATCTCCAGTCCTGACCTCATTTTGAAACTATTCCAAAATTTCCTTAGATTGGCCTACTACTGCCAAGCATCCTGGTCTGTTTCCAGAGAGAAACAACCTAGAACAGATTAGTCTTTTGTTATTTTAGCAAGCTCATGATGGAGGTAGACCTTTGCTCCAAATTCTAACCATTTAGGATTTCTTCATGGCAAAAATTAGATGGTATGCAGATACACAGAGTAAAAAAAAAAAAAAAAGAAAAATAAAGCAAGCTTAAACATGCGTATCTCTGTTGCCTTAATGAGGTACTGCTCCCTTGATTTAAATTTTCATTTAATATCCTGCCAGTGTGATGTTGCAGTCTAGCTGAGTGATAGTCCTCTTCAGTCTTGTCTAAAAATTTCACACCCCTAAATACTATGTCTCCTTTACCTTAGTCAACAATTTCTTTTGTTGTATAACTTCATTGCATAATGTGAGGTGACCTGTATTAGCCCACAGTTTGGCAGAAATCACTTCTGGTTTTCACCAGCAGATCAGCAACTTCTAATGTGATGGATCTTACTCAGATCTAACATTCAAATCTTGACTTGTTTCACCCATGTTCCTTGTAATTGTTCCAGATGCATGGAATGTCTTTGATCACACACCAACTTAGCACAAACATTTAATTTTCTGTTATAGTTGACTTGGCTAAGCTCTGTGTAGTAGTGGGTTGGAAGAGCAGCATAAGTAAAAGATATTTAATTGATCTGATGAGGGGTATGCTTCAAAAATTGTTAGCATCAGTAAAAACACCAGGCTGTAATATCTAACATTATTTGCATCAAAATAAAAGAATTTAATGATAAAGGTAGGCATCACATATAGTCTGTGTCTAATGTAATTTCTGTATTAATGGTCACCTTTCTTTTCAGTGGAACTTCACAACCAGGAATGTTTCTTCTTTTCTAATATGTTAAATAATATTCACTATGATTTCTTCAAAGACCAGGATAATTTCTGTATTTTTTGGATGAGAGGAGAGTAGAAGGAATTAAATAAAATGTGATGTAGTAAAAACTGAATTTTTTTGTTTAACTGGTGATGAACACTTTGTGTCTTTTGGGGAATCTTAGCTCTGCAATACTGAAATCCAGATTACTTAAATTCACATTTAGTCTAATCTCCTTTTTTTCATCATCCCCTTGGTTACTGTCTTCGTATTGGGTTATGTCTTGCTGTGTTGATGCTACTCTTTTGTTTTGTACTTGTAATACTAACTTCTTGACTTACTTGTCCAGATCTGTGGCCTTCTGTGTGGACTAGAGTCTAACTAAAATCAATATGGTTCCTTAACAGAAAATTCCTTTTCTCAGATCTGAAGTGTATTTCTAAGAAAACTTATGCTCAAGCACAAAAGTTCCAGTATTTTTTCATAGATTGCAAAACTTAAAAATGTTTTCAAACATTTCATCATATCATCATATCATCAAAGTCTCTGTTTTGTCTTGTATTTGTGTTCATTAAAATATTGTTCAAGAAAAACCTCAAAAATATTTCTATACAGCTAAAGAAAATGTTTGTCAAAGACAAGATAAATTTATTTCAAATGAAAAATCTACAAATGCTCAAATCCATAATTAAATGAGTGGTGTAGGGCCATATAGCCAAAATACTTCTATTTCAGTGTTCAGTAAGTAAGACTTTTCTCTCTTCAAGTGTGCTGCTGCTGTCTATTATTCATTCAGTGTACAAACTCCATTGTATTTCTAATTGTGCAAAATTAGAGACATTTGCTAACATAATGGGAATCTAAGTGTTCTTTTTCAAAGAAGAAATTTACTAGTATAAACAGGAAGTTTGTTTTCTTTCCTAGGTATATCCATAAAACAGTTGATATGGCCATAGTTACTGTAGTGCCAATATGTCTAGGATCTCTGTAGCTAATACATAGCTATAGAACACTCCCTAGGTTAATATTTATGCCCCTGTGAGGCATTTTTATATGTTACTTCATTTCCACTAACTGACTTTATACCCATTCATATACGGATACGGTTTGTGACTAATCTTGGCCCTGCAATGTCAAAGCAGCAGAACTAAAAGAATGAAAGAAATAGTTTGTTAAAGCACTGTTGTGTACTTACAAAATGCTGTGCTTTGCTGAACTTTTCATACAGACACACTGACTGTTAAAGCAATGTTTTGTAACTAAATGACATTTTAGATGTGTTAGGATAACTGGTTTGATGACAGTCTTTTAAGAACTTGTGGTTTATTTGTGGTTCACCTTTAATGTTTATGTAACAGCTAGGAGTATGCTTATGATTAAAATACACTCCTTGAATGTTAAACTACTGTTCCATGACCAGGCTCTGCAACCTAAGTATGTTGCTTCAGAAGGCTGAATGCGTGTTATCTTCCAGCAACTAGAGTATAGCTGTTTTAAATAATGTGTCTTTTAAATGTTTAGAATATGCTTGAATTGCTAGAAGAAATGCCAAATGGAGTTCCACCAGAAAAAGTGAAAAGCTACATCTACCAGCTAATTAAAGCAATTCATTGGTGCCATAAGAATGATATTGTTCATAGAGGTAAGTGTGTAGCTCTCCATATGAAATTAAGCCCCCTGTAGGAATTTGCTTATTACAGGGAAAGATGTTACAGCTTAAAGTAATTTGTATTTAACATAAATAGAAGCAATTGCTTTATATCAACAGGAAAAAAATTGTCAGTTGGGCTGGATCTTAAGTCTACTGTGTGACTTCAGATAATTTTAAAGCTAAATTCATCTACATATAAAACTTGCTGTCCACTGTCTTTGGGGCATGATATAAAAATTGTGAAGTGAAACTGAAGTACAGACATTGTCTAAGGAAAAGGAATTTTTTAAACCTTTCGTGGTGGTCAGTCATTTCACTTTTGAATCTGATAATAGAATACTAGGAGAAAAAAAATCCAAAACTTAAAACTTGGTCTCCCATGTTTTACTTCTTAACGTAGATCCTCCCAGCTCCCCTAAGCTTCAAGCACTTAAAGTACATATCTTGATGTATGACTTTATCTAGTTTTATGTCTTTTATCCTGATTTAATAAAATTGTATTTTGCTTTGTGGCTTTGCAAGAGTAACATTTCTAATTAATGTTTCCATTAAATTAACATTCTTATACAATATGCTTTTTATATTTGAGACCAATCAAACATAAGCAAGAGTCTGAAAACATTTTGTAATATATAGTTTGAAAAATATACCATGTGTGTACACAGCAATATCCATATAGGAATGAAAAAAAGGGCTTAAAACTAGACAAGATGTTTTTTCTAAACAAATTACAAGAGATGATCAAGATGGTCATTATAGCCGAAAATGCTGAGCACAACACACAACATTTTATTGGTTAACTGGGTAATTAAATATCAGTTCTTTCTATTATTTTGCAATATGCAATATTATGCATATTGGTTTGCTGCCCAGGAATATCTGTAAGCACATTTTATCTTCCCATATTTTGTTGGGAAACACTTAAAAAGACTTCAAAAGGCAGAAAATTAATTCTGCCTGTTTACGAACTGAATTGCTGGAAGCTGTTTCAGCAGTTGCTCTTGTAATGCTTCATTTATGATTGCGTGAATATCTCTAAATACATTATAATGAAATAATATTTGTTGACAAAGTTCAAAATTAAAGGGAAATTAACAGCTCTTTTTTTTTTCACATCTACTCTGATACTTCAGATATCAAACCAGAGAATCTCTTAATAAGCCACAATGATGTTCTGAAGTTGTGTGACTTTGGTAAGTTCAATAGATAGATAGCTGCTGCTCACCTTTTTAAAGAAAATCTCTTGCAGTGAAGTTTTGCCTTATTATGTCAGTGTTCTACAGTATATGCTGTTTAAAAAGCTTTTAACAGTCAGAATTGATTACTGCTTCAGGTTTGGGGCTAGTATTTTAATTTGAAAGATCTCTGGGCTTAATTTGCATACCTTGTGAAATACCTGTGTTAACAGGTCAATAGAAACACTGCCTTTCTCTCTTCCTCTATTTTTGCTAGTGCTGCTGCTGACACACAGCTGAGAACAGCACAGATGATAAACTGATTAGGAGGCTAGCAAATCTGTGGGTTTATCTGGCCTGTGTATTGAAAGAAAAGATAATTCTTCATTGATGTTTAGTAAAGGCACAACAGATTTATACTTTTTATGTATTTTTTGAACCACTGGCTTTTGTGGACTGCTATGTGTGTAGTTATAGGTCAACTTTTTTTGTTACCTAATAAAGGAATCAGATGTCCACATATGTTTAATGACTGAATGACTGGATGTTAGAGTCAGAGCTGTACATGTTAACTCTCATGTTTCCTAAGCCTGTTTAATGTCAGCTTTAAGACCTTGAAGAATTGTCACCCCAGTACGAGGCAAACTTTGGCCATGTGAGTAATTCCCAAAAGACAACAGGGAAGAGTGTACACTGTTCCAACAATCTGTATTTTTATTCTAAATGCTACATAAACACAGAATAAAATATTTTTCCCTCTGAAAAGCTTACAGTTTCACTTGGTAAATAAAAGCCAATTCCATAGTGTTACCCCAGAGGCACTTCTCAGTGAGAACAGTTTGAAAGCTGTCTTTTCAAACCTCTGCAATTTTGAATGAAAAGAAGAACAGCTAACAAAATAGAATGGAATATGTTTTTAGGAACACAAGAAAGGCATTTTTCATTTGCAATGCTTCTTATTTCATTTAATCCTAAAAGCATTTTTGCTTAAGCATTCAGAAACAATAACTGTTCTAGGAAAAACCTTAGAAGATTTAGTTCATACGAGTTCTTTGAATTCAGAGCCATTTATTCTCCAGTGTAAGGAACTGCGCAGCTCTAACAGAACACCAGGTACTGCTGTGTGGTGCCTTTGCCTTTTCAGTATCCACAGGCCTCCTGTCTGCACTGCTGTGGCTGCCCTGGCACCATTGACCAAAGCCCAGAGCTGGTGGGGCAGGATTTTTCCCTCATTCTACACTGATTATCAAGGCCTTACCACTGCCAAGCAAACCCCATGAGGTTGGCAGGGCCAGGCCTCTCCAAGGAGTGAAGGCTTGTGTAGATTACACTTTGCTCCCTCTCCACCACTTCACCCTCCACATTAGCTTTGGGGACCAAAAGCTCCTTAGACAGAGCTAAACAACCACCACATGGGCAGTGCCTGTCCCTGAACAATGCCTGCTCCAGTGTGGGCTAACCTCATCAGATGCAGGAATAGCCAATGTGGGCATGAGTGTGTCCTGAAGGGAACAGTTGACTCCACACATGCTTCCCTCCCTCCCTCGTTTTTTCTGGAGTGGGGATGTCCCTCCTTGAAAGTAACACCATTAGAGTTGTCATATGCTATCACCTAACAAATCTTTGCATGTGGACTTGTTTCAACATCCTCTGTGCAGCAGTATTGCAGGAAAATATAAAGCCGGACAAATGGTACGATCATGTTTTGGATGTTTGCTTTGGCACTAGATGTAGATGATGTGAATTCTGTTAGCAGTGATGTTCTGTGTGGTCTGTTGGCTTGCTCACACTGTGTGCTCCAGCCATGTTCTCTCTGTGCTGTTGGAAAGGACACGCAATCACAGTGTACTCAGAGTGATCAGCACAGTATCAAGGAAGGCAAACTAAGAGAATTTCTGTTGTTCTTACTGTTCATGTGGGTTAGTTTTAATTTTAATCAACCTTTCAGATTTAGTTGAATTTAAAATTCCGAGAAACTCTACTAATATGGAATCAGTTTTAAGTTTCTAGTGTTATTGCTAATTGACATTATTGCTAGTAACTTAAGCTATGACTGTAAAATCCATGTCAGAATGGTGTTAGCCACAGATGTTTCCTGAACATGCACAAATTAGGATGTAAAAATTTGCCTTTTAACATGATTTAACATATGCTGTCTGACTACCTAACTTAAATCATATTTTGGAACACGGGTACTTGTCACATACAGTGTCACATTCCTCATGTGATTACAAATGCAAAGAAAAGGACTATGCATCCATTTCCAATAGCTCAGTGGAGAAAAATAATTTGAATAGAAAAGTTCATAAATTTTTAACAAGATATCTCTTCTTAATCCTTGTGCCATGTGTTCTGTACATACCGTGCTAGATAAAATTGAGATTGAATGTTGTGCTTGCCCAGACACATGTTGTGTGGGTGTCATTTCTGCCAATAGAAGTGAAAGAAGAAAACAGTACAAAGTGCCGACTACAGCAGATGCATCTGACTGTTGGAAGTACTTAGGTTTTCTGACTGGTGTGTTTGCTGTTTCAACACCAGGGCTTCAAAATTACTTGTTTTAGCAATCTCTTAATCTCAGTATGATGTGTAAGCATAGAAATCATGAAACACAGGACTGGAAAAGACCTCAAGAAATCCTCTAGTTCTTCCACCTACTCAGAGAAAGGATTAAGAATGTCTTTGTCATTCTTGACAGGTGTTTGCTTAGCTTATTCTTAAAATTCTGAATAATGGAGGTTCCCTAGTGTTCTTAGGCATCTATTAAAGTACTTACATGTCATTAACATTAGAATGCTTTACCTTATGTCTAACTGAAATGTGCCTTATTTCTCTGTAAGAAACTGACAATCTCCTCCTTTTTTCCTTACACCGTTTTCCTTGTCATCTCTCCTACCATGTTCTGAGTTGTTTCAAGTCCTTTCTTGAAATTTCTGATTTTGCTTGTTATTTCTTCTTGCATCATGATGCATTTGGAAATGCTGTTGTTTCCATAGTCACTCTCACCCAAATTGCCTTCTATGTTCATCTTCTAATCTATTCATTCTCACTAGTTAGAGTTTGGTCTGATCTTCTCCCTTGTTTCCTTCTCTTACTTTTATATACCCGATACCTCAGCACAATTGGAGGAAGGAACAATAAACAAATTCCCATCATAACAAAAAAAAAAATTGTTCCCTTAGAAAGGTATTATACTTTCCTGAATTGTCAGTTCTGTCCATCATCATTCTGCATTGTGTGACAGAGTCAGAGCAGTACTGAATCGATAAAATGGTTTCTCATATCACCCAACAATATAGAAATGACACTGAAGTCCATTATGATAATTTTACTTTCTCTCTTGCCGCATCAAATCTGTGCTGCACCCAGCCTGTAAAGCTGGAGGCTGATTTTTCAGACTATGTTAGCTCCTGACCAAGTTCCAATAGACTGCCCTGTAGGGAGGAGGATGCATCCTTGACCTGTTGATTCTTCCGGTGCACAGGGGCTCATGTGCTGCCAAGCTCATGTGTTACCTTAGCACGTTTATTTCTATCATGTGACACTTTTTTCTCTTTCTTTCTCCTCCTCCCTTCAGTCTGGGCCTTCCCACATTTTGACTGTCCCATTTCTCAGTGTAGCTCCTGGTTATCTCCTCTCTGTTGTTTAAACACATGAATGGAAGATTTTTCATTGGCAAGATTAATCAGATAGCTCATGTAATTTGAAACAGAAACAGAGCTGCCTAAGCAGTTCTAAATATAGTAATGTTTCCAAATTTATTCAATCCCCATGTTACAAGTAATAAAAAATTCCTTTCCAGCTTTTCTCGAACAGCATCAGTAATGTTCATTAGACTTTATGGGAACAGAAATGAATTATGATTATTTTGGAACAACTTTGAAATATCGGTTCCTCATCATACGTGCCTTTTAGTTTATTAGCTCTTGAACTTAAAGGTATCTTGCAAAAAGTAACAGCTGTAACCTGTGTAATTAACAAATTTACAATTGTTTTCTATAATCACTAGTCTAATAATAATAATCTGCATCCAAATTGTTACTTCAACTTGGAGTAAATTTTGACTGAGTTTTTATGCCACATGCCACTAAGAAAGCATTTTGAAAATGCTGTTTCTGCATTTCAGTCCCAAAAACTTGTATTGGTTTGAGCTCTAGTAAGGAGCCTACACATGTGAAGTCTTGCTGCTGAGATCTGTCTGTCCTATCTCACCTTGTTGGTAATTATTTGTTTGAAAACAGTAAAAATCTTGATACTTTTTGAAAATAGTGACAACATCTGCCCTAGAGTACTTCTACATGAAGAATCCAGTAACAACATTACTGTGGTGTTTGGCTGACATTTTATAAATGGAGGAGAATGAAAACAAAAGTCTAAATTATTCCTACATCTGGATTTTCTTCTCTGAGCTAGTGGTCATAATTGTTATGCTTTAGGACAGTAGTGAAGTTTTAGTACAACTGCAAATAAATATAACTTCTTAATTTTTTTTGTTAACAAAATGATGTGGAGAAAGAATTTAATTTGGACTTACTTTCTGATCCTAATTCATGAAAAATTGCAGTGAATATGATGCTAAAGCAGGTGGGAAGCCAAAACTTGTGGAGTGAGCCAAATGCAGATATAAACAGTTTTGCTGATCTTTGGTAGATTCCCGCATTTTATAGTTTTGAGGAGATGACCCTTTCCTTTGCCAGGTCAGGGAGGGAGTGTCCTTAAATAAGAATAATACATAGTTTTTTGACCTGTTTAAAAAATTGAAGGTAGTGAGACTGTAGTAATTAAAATCAATGAACAGAAGAGTCTACTCCACCTGCATGTCTGTTGTTTCTAATATTGGGAATCTTCTGCAAGCATCTCAGTAGAGGTAATAGTTCAACAGCTTATGTGGCGTAATGATAACAGGTAGCTTTTGTCAATCTGTTTGGATTATGTAAAGCAGCAAAAATAATAGCAAAACTCCACAGACTTGTGAGGAGAGTACACAAGTAAGGTAGTCATTAAAGCAGACGTGCTGACTTTCACTGTTGCATCAATAAAAGCTTGCATTTCAGTAGACAAGCACTTGTTAGAGAGATCATTCTGCAGCAGGGGTTGTAAACAATTTGCTTCTATATAAATAGATGTGACCTCTTACTGTCAAAATCAGTGGTGATGTGCATATTGTATTTAAAATGGGCTATAATATTTCATGCTGTTTCTCTGACAGGCTTTGCTCGTAACCTCTCTGAAGGAAGCAATGCTAACTATACAGAATATGTGGCTACCAGATGGTACCGCTCACCTGAACTCTTGCTTGGGTAAGTACAGTTTGTAGAACTGCCATGATAAATTTTGACAGATTCTTTACAGTTTTTTCAAGCACTTTTTGTAAACTTCAGCTGTGGAGAACTGTAGTTTATTTAAAGGCAAGATTTCAAGAGGCTTCTAGATTTTCATTAATTTTTGTTCATTTTCAGTGAGTTGGTATGACCTATCTTGAGCTGAGCAGTGTTTAACTGATTAAAATATTAAGCTGAATTATAACAGATGTACTCCCAATTTCTACACCCTCACCCCCATTTCCTTCAGAAAAGGTTTCCATGGTAGTCTTGTAGCCTGAAATGTTCCATCAGCCTTATGGTGGACATCACATAGCAATGACAGTGCAGCTTTCAAAATGTGACACTTGTAGTTATCTTCATCCTTTGGGTCAAAACTGTATTAGGAAGAATTTTTTTTGCTCAGAAGGTGATAAGGCACTGGAACAGGTTGCCTGAAGAAGCTGTGGATGCCCCATCCCTGGAAGTCTTCAAGACCAGGCTGGACAGGGCTTAGAGCAACCTGGTCTAGTGGAAGGTGTCCCTGCCCATGGCAGGGGTGTTGGAATGAGATGATCTTCAAAGGTCCCTTCCAACCCAAACCATTACACTTTGCCAGCACTGGTGAAGTCACTCAAAAGGCTGCTGCTAACTTTTTACTAGTCGGGAAGAATTTATTGAAGGAGGCCGTAAGAGTCATTTCAATAAAGCACTGAGAAGTTAGCATGCATTGCCTGCAAAAGTAGTAGCTACGTGAGTAGCCTCAGCAAGACAATTTAGTTTTACTCCTTTATTAATCTGTAAAATGAGCGTATCATTACCTCGCAAGATGAAACAAATTTTCAGATAATAAATGAACTAATTCATAGGACCCAAAAGGGCAGAGGAAGAGAAAAAAAATAACTGGAGATCTCCTATATGTGATCTTCCAGTTACTATCGAGTTCAACATGAATACTCTCATAGAATACAATTCCAATGTATAGTGATACACATATTCTTAAAATAAGGAATTGAAAGCCACAAGATGAATCAAAAAAGTACTGGTCACTTCTAAGAATCTTTAAACATAATGTTTCATGCTGCTGGGCAACAAGTTGGCAGCTTTGATTAATGCTGAACTAGATATTTTTTGAACAGGTACGGCACTAAGTAATAATTATTCTGTCAATAAAGTCACCCCAGTATTCCCAGAGTTGTACTAATCTTAATCAAACTGGTAGGTAGTTGCATTCTTATGTGCAGAATACTATGTTAAAGCTGCCAATAAAAACCTCAAAGCTCAGTTGTTCATATCTTGGAGAAAACAGTTAAGCTTCCAGCAAAGTGCATGTGTTTGTGTGCATATGTAAGTATAAAAAAAGACTTGAAAAGAAAGCATCAATTGCGGCCTTTTAAGGTACATAATATTTTGCTCTCTCTCTAGTAGTAATGAGGATTTAGGAGGAAAGACATGAAAAGTTTGACAGACATAGTATCAGTCTGACCTGCAATTTTCAAAGCTGTTTTGTTACCAAAGGAAGTTTAGCAGGAATCGTGTCTGTTTGTAGTTGACTAAATCTGTTTGATTAACTTGTAGAGAAAGGGAGGGGATTTGTGTATTTAATGCTTCAGCTTTACTGGTGTGTGGTTTTAAAGCCAAGTTTTTCTGGCAAAAAGTGATGCCTATTTCTTGGCAAACCTGTTCTATTTCCCAGGAACTGATCTTTCCCATCCCCCTTTCCTTGCATTTACCAAATCTTTATAAGCATCTAATATTGAAATTCTTCTCAGGTTTATTAAATATATACATTTTAACAAATACAGTTTTACTTTTTCAACTTTTAAAATGTGTCCCAGAGTGGTTTCTGTTTAGCAATGAGGTTCCAGACTTAAATTTCAAGAGAGGAAAGAAATTGCTGCCTAATTATTCACAGAACATCTAAAATCTACTCACTTTGGAGAGCCTCAGGTAACTAGCTACCGGTGGAGTACTCTGTACACTTTGATGACAAAATATTGCTAAAAGCCAGTAGATTTAAAAACATACCAAATTAATAGATGAAAACATGTTTTGGAGAATTTAATATGTGCAGGCTTAGACTATAATACTTCTGATTTATGGTCTATCTGTCCTATAGGAGTTATTTCATTTTCCAACCATATCACTTGTGCATTTTTTTCTCTTGTGATATGATGAGAGTGATCCTGGCAGCCAGCCGGAGTCTTGAGCATGCCTTTCCAAACAACAACACTGCAGTTTACACTGCCTTAAGAAATGGGTATTTTCTGATTTGTTTCTGTTTGACTACAGAGTAAATACTGAAAAGTTCCTAACTACGATTCAGCTTTTTTTATTCTTGAGAGCAAGGAAGGGTAATGGTCCATGCCTTAAAGGAGTTTTAGCCCATTCCTCAGTTGTAATCCTAGCTTGTTCTCCAGTACCCCAGCCTACACCAGCCTTTTCCCTATTTCACATTTCATTGGAGGAAACTGCATATTAAAAGGGAATTGTAAACAAAGATGTTCTTGGTTTTCTATCGTAATAAAAGGGTAGGATTTTTACCTGCAGTCTCACAAACTGTTTTGCTCACAGATCCTCACTTTTCAAATACAGGCACAGAGCATCTTAAGAGCAGATCCTTGGCTTTGGAGTCCATTCTCACCTGTGTTGCCTTTTGCAGTGAGGAAAAAACTAGGCCTTCCTTGGCACTCTGACGTGATGGGTGGGTTGGACTAGCTGCATCCCAGAAAGGTCAAACACTGAGTCAATCCACAGGAAACCACTGTGGTGGTTCCTTGTCGGCAGTCAATTCCAATGGGACAAACGTTGATTGATTGTGATGTCTCATGTCAGATTCTCAAAGGCAGGCAGTTTTTGCAATTTTGGTGTCCTACTTTGGCTTTCCCAGCTACCATAGACTGCTGCACTAGTCATCTCAATGGGCCTGTAGTTTCACGCGGGCTATCATCCAGCTAGAATTGCTTTCTCACCTTCACCTAATCAAATCAAGGGTTTACAAGTTCCTCTGGCCAAGTGTCCACTCCACAAGCTAAGTAAATAATAATGAGTAATCAGTGGGGAAAAGTCAGATATTTTTTCTGTAGTTTGAGCATGTTCTTTCTCTAAACATCTTCAATCATTAACATAAGGAAGGAGTGAAGAGGACAGATTTAGGATAGGATTTGTCACCTGCAGCTCCTGGTGCTGTCTTATTCCAGAAATAGGCAAGACAGCTGTAATTTAAATCTCTTGAAACAGAGGTTGAGTTATTGGATTACAAGTTTCAAAAAGAAGAGACTCAGTGAAATATGTTTTCAGTTCAGTCTTTGTTCCAGTCTTTATTATTTTTATAGCTTTTTCTTTGACGTGAAAAGAATTCTCCAGTCATTCTATTCAAAACATCCAAAAGAGATTCTTGGAATAATTTGGATGTTTAAAACTTTTTTTACAATTCAATAACACTCGGGTGTACAGAAGAGAAGTTTTCCCCATAACCCCACCAATGGCTTTGCTCCAAAACAGGAATTATTTACTTTATGCTGTCATTGCTTCCTTGCTTGTGTTTTTTAAGGAATAGTTTTCAGAAGAATTCCATTTTCTTTCTAATTAAAATTTCATTGTATGAATGGTGGAACAGATATTTCCTATCATTCTGTTCTTCCAGTGGCCAGACCCAGTATGCCTACCCATCTAGTAAGCACAATGGAAAAATAAATGTAATACAGGAACAGAGCACAGGAATTGGCCCTGGAGAGAAGGGAGGTTAGTAGTAGTTTAGCTGGGAGTGGTAACTGCTTTGCAATCAAAAAGATTATTCTTGTATGTAAGATTTTTCACAAAGAATTAGATCCCTGGGGGCACTTGAAAATTCCTCTCCTGCCTTTTCAAGCAGTGATAGAGACATCAGGAAATCCAGGGCAGAAACAGGGGGCTTGGGATTTGAGGTAGTCTCTTTAATATCAGACTTTGTTTTTCTGTGTTTTAAGGAAGTGGGCCATGGGAAATATGGCCAATAAATTGAAACAGCTCAGTAAGAATACAAGGTCAATGGGTGAAAAACATTGTACATTCACTTTACAGAGCCCCTTATGGAAAGGCTGTGGATATGTGGTCTGTAGGCTGTATCCTGGGAGAGCTGAGTGATGGGCAGCCCTTGTTTCCTGGTGAGAGTGAGATTGACCAGCTCTTTACCATTCAGAAGGTGCTGGGCCCGCTGCCAGCTGAGCAGATGAAGCTCTTCTATAGCAACCCACGCTTCCATGGCTTGAGGGTAAGGGAAAGCTTTGTTCTTTTTCTTACTTTTTTAGTTACTTGAGCAATGTTTACAGTATTGTTTTTGTTGCTGTGAAGGTTCTTTTCATTTACACTGTTCATTATCTATTGCCTCTATTTCTGTGTAAGTATGGGATATATAGATTGTAAGATATTCATAAGTCAAAATAAAATTCTGATTACACCAGTATTGAGTTTTATAAATTTATAAAATAAAGATTGATTAAAGATTTTCTCTCATTTATTTATAAAATAAAGATTGATTAAAGATTTTCTCTCATTTCTTTGACATTTTTGTCGTGAAATTTACCTCTTATATCCAGTTTAGCATTGCCCTGACAGGTTTACATAGTAAAGTTTAGTGGCAAAGCTCTGTCAGGTCAGATTGTGGAAAACTCATGACTGCTGTCTTCAGGCTACTCTGTTGGAAAAATCTGAGCTATAGATGCTACTATTGTGCAGAAGAGCTTTCTGCCTTTTGACTTATATTCCTGGGGAGTTGATGTAGGCCACATAAGTAAAAAAGCTCTTCCTACTGACAGCATTGTTCCTTTCAGGGATTTGCCCATATAATGTAATGATAGAGGCTCACTAATATGAAGAATCTACTCAAGTTGGGATGTGTAATATGGAAAAATACCAGAACCAATAAATAAGTAATAGCTCTGTTATTTTTACCAATACCTGGTCAGTGACTCGTGTTGCCTTGTATCCAGTTTCGGTTGTCATTTTTTATTAATAAAAGTTGCTTGGAAAGGTGAGTTTATGATCTTGATAAATGTTCTGAAATTGTTAGTGTAAATCATATAAAGAGACATACAAAGGTTTTAGGAGACCTGATCTGTGCTAAAGACTCAAGATTTGAATTTTACTCTGAAATAGAGAAAATGTGAGAATGTGAAAGGGAACGAGTGGGGATCTAGTTGTGTTAAAACATGTTAGAAGTTGCCATAAATTTGGTTTAACTGCTGCTGATAAGAGATAGTTGGCTTAAGGTGTTAAGGTAATTATTTTAGGTACAAGGATAACTAATTCTGAAGAGTTTTTGTTGAAGTTTGTAGACCATCAGAAGAGGATTTTAAAAAAATGATCAGACAAGCATTTCTTGTAAGGTCCTATTTGTATTTCATCCTTTTTAGAACAGTGGACTGGATGGGATTTTCTGTTTAAAAAAATTATAACCCCTTATCAGGAAAACAATACTTTAAAAATTGTAAGCAAAATAAATTACTACCTCTTCTATGTTATTTTACAGCTGTGCAATATAATCTTATTCGAATACATACTCTGTAGTGTTTTAGGATGAGAATGAAATATCTTTGTTTTGTAGCTTTTAAGTACAGAAATTCAAGAAGACAGCATGTACCTAATGTGATTAGAACAAGGTTGAGGGTCTGTTCTCATCCCAGATCAATGGTTTATTACTTGGCCTCAATGTTGCTGCCTTCTTAGCCCCATTTGTGAAGTCAGGCTGCAAGTGATGATGACAGTGACATGGCCTCTCGTAGAGAGTAGTTTTTGAATACTGAAGTAAAGTCTGAATAATGGCGTAAACTTCAAAAATACTACAAAAATATTGGTTCGGAATATGATATTCATTAGTTAATTCTGGGGGAAAATTGTCCCATATTATAAGACAAACTTAAAAGTACATTTTTTCTGAATGTAGCATAACTTAGTAGTGAAAGATTTTCTGTTGCATAGCAGATAGAAGGCATGCTGTGATCAAGCCAATTACTATTTACAAGCTGGATCTGGTGCTCGGTATTCACAAGATAGAAACTAGCCCATGATGTGGATTTTTTTATCCATATACTTAGACTTAGTGAATTTCTACATTCCTGTAACTGTGAGTACTAGCATATTGTAACACAAAATTAAAAACAAGTCTAATACAAACACTCCAGCACCACATGCATATGTATACAGATGCACATTTGTTGACTTTCTGTCCTTTCTTTCTGCCTATATCCTTCATATATACATATAAATATACGTATACACACACCAAAACCACGTTTTTTCTTTCTCCTGAGGTTTAGAGAGTATTTAGTGATATCTCTCCAATTCTTTTGAGGAGGAAAACACCCATGGTATGTTGAAGGCCCAAGGAAATAAAATAATATGGGATCAGAAAGTACCAATAGGCTCATGCCTCTATGGAAAATGTGAGTGGCAATGTAGGGCTGTAAATATTATTCTATAAATAAATTATATGAATAATCTGAACAATTCCAGTGAATAGTGACTGTTGCTTTGCATGACTTCAACATATTTTCATGTTTCCCTGATCATTCTGGATATAAAATCTTTATGATTGTCATTCTAAATGAAGACAAGAACATTTTGCCATTTGGTTCATGTAAAAATTGGAAGAAACATGGAAGCCTTAGTTTACCTAAGTTACTATGTAAGATCAACATAGCGGACTTGGACTTAAAAAGATTCTCAATTATTCATAAACCTCTTAAAAATAAAGTGAAGTAAAAAGAAAAATACAGAGACTATTTAGGAACAAACACATTCAAACTAATATTCTTTCAGTTTCCTTTGAAGTTCACATAAGGTAATTTATGAAAAGTAATGGTAGTACAAATATGGGTACCTCCTGTAGTGTGCACTTCTCATGGTCTTCCCAGATCTCACTGCAGTGTGACCACAGCAGTAATCCTGAACCTTAAACCTTTGGGGTTTCAGCATTTTTCACTAAAAACATTTTGGAATTGTTTGTTAATCTTTGGTATTTAACTAATACTGTATTTGCACTCTCAAATTCTTTCAAAGCTATTTTTAATATTTTTTTCCTTTTAAATATAGGTTACTTATGTTATTTCTGAATCTACTTTAAACCTCCTACCTCTTGTCAATCATAATGCCACAAAAAATCTTAAGTTGATTATTTCTCACTTGAGGAGGTTTCTTGGCTGCCCTAATAATCAAGAATACTTTCTTTGGTTGACTAGATGCTTATCATATCAACAGTTACTTGTTTCATTATAGCATTTTATGATGTTTCATAAACCACTAACGTTTTCAGTGCTTATGTTTCCCATTAATTACATGCTTTGATTTCACTGTGTAGTTTTTATTTTTTGAAACATCGTATTTATGTATATCTTGTTTATATTATAAGTATATTTACCCTGTATTTTTTACAGTTTCCAGCAGTCAATCATCCACAGTCTTTAGAGAGAAGATACTTGGGAATTTTAAGTGGCGTATTGCTTGACCTTATGAAGGTAGGAAAATGTCTTTTATTTTCTGTCTGTAATATGTAGGAAAAGATGTAAGTGACTTTTGACCTTTGTTTCCTAATATAATACATCTTAAAAGTACCTGTGAACTTCCTTTTGCGATATTTTGATATCACAATTGTTTGTTGTAAGGCTTGGTATTTTCTAGGAATCAGGAAAATATCCCTTGCAAATGCTGGGAGGTTCTGTTCAAATTTGACTGATTTGATAAACCATACATAGTCCAGACAAAAGCATCACCATCCTTTGCAGCACTATGCATTCATACCAACATACATTCAGATGCACCAGCTGCCTTAGTAATACTGGAGCAGAAGGTCTCAACCCACCATTTATTTAGATAAATACACAGAGTATTAGGCTAACCTGAGTTGTTCATTTGCTGTTGGGTAAGCATGTGGATGAGGACAGTTGTCAAAATTGACACAAACCCAGTTTTGGGTTTTTACCCAAACTGTTAATCTGCTTCCTGTCACTCACCTCTACACAAGTGTGTATGTTAGGTTACTCTTCAGCCCTGATTTGGAATAAGTCAGCATGGCCCAACTAGGATACAGTCCTGAGATACCTTCTTATAGGGAATCAGGAGAAGCTAGCTCCCCTCAAAATGGCCAAGCACTGTAAAGCACTGTGCTATGCATTTGTGCTGTATTCCTGGGTATGAAACATGTACTGTTGTCTTTACTACTGTACTATAAAAACATTACCATGGTCAGCTGCAGTACAACCCTCACATTATTTCTTCCCAGTCAGCTGGAAAAAAAAAAAAAGTCATAGTGTCAAAAATTTGGTTTAGAATCACAAAACCACTTAACAGTTAAAGGCAATATGGAAGAAATATGAAGTGTGGATATGACTAATCAACTCTAAATGAATTTTATGGTCCCAAGACCAACTGCACCAGTTGTCTTGTAAAACAGAGGTCACCAGCTTTGGGATACACTTGGGTGTTTACTTGCTTTTAGCAGTATTGTTGTAGCCAGCAGAAATCCTCAAATTTGCTCTACTCTTTTCATCCACACAACCAGTTCAAATCACTTACATTTAATGTCCTTGCCTTATGAAGAGAGTCAGCATAGCTTTTATCTTGGTTTCATGGAGTCTGCAAAATTAAATACCTCAGTGCATATAGCTGCTCATTTTAGTATTATACTTTCTCCTCTATTTTCTAATTCACAGAAATTGTTTTTTTCTGGCATCATAGTTAGCTGTAGCTCAAGCTCTGGTAGCATATATTGCAAACCACCTATTTCAAGATTCATTATTTTATTTTTATCCTAATTTTTGTGTTATATCTGGGTGTCATTTAGGTTCTTTTCATTTGATTTAAAAGCTGCAAAGTTGTGAAAAGAAGCACTTGAATTTTAGGGAAACACAGTTTTCCAAATAGTTTCATTCTTTTCATCTTTTCTATCTGTGTTTCTCCCTATGAGACGAGAAAGGTCAGGAATTCTGCAGAAGAGATATTTTGTGTTTGACCTACATTACTTAATTCAGGAGTTGGAACCTTGTTAAACAGTGAGCAGACTACAAGAAGAGAACAGAGGAGACTTGTGGTTAAGTTGCATGCTATAAATGCTGCAGAGACTTTGTTGTATGCCTGTCTCTTCTGCAGAAAATGGACACTCTGACACATGTCCACACTTGTGTTCCTCATTATCTGCATTCCCAGGGACCTCAGGTCTGATTACTAGATTACTGAATAACCAACACTTCAACTTATGCCAGCTAAAGGAGTGAATTATTAATATATTTATCTAGAGAGCATTTCTGGACTAGATTAATGAAGAGGCATCTATTTGACCTCCTTGCTTTGTTGCTCTAGTCCTCTGCTCTCCTTCACATGTGATGACTTGGTAAAAAAAGATGTTTCAGTCTTTTCCTTGTTATCTGTCATTCACTCGTCTCTCCCATTCAGCACCAGACATGAATTTTCTCTGAGCTTTTGTTTGCTACTAGAGTACTTGTAGAACCCCTTCTTTTTACCCTTGATGTTCTTCACTTGCTTTAGCTCCAGCTGGACTTTGACTTTCTGAGGTGGCCTAACCTTTGTTCCAACACACTGCTTTTAAAGCCTCCTGTCCTTGACTCTATTCTCCCATTTTGCATTTTTGTTCATTAAGAAACTCCCTGTTTAGCCAGTCTGAACCTATAAAAAATTTTGTGGTCATCGGTACAATAAGATGCTTTTCCTGAACACTCAATAAATTTTATGTAAAAATCAAGTGGCTCTCCTGGACACCTTTCCACTGATGGCAGTTCTTCAGGAGATTCTGCCCAGTAATTCCTTATAGAAGCTGAAATTTGCTCCCCTGAAGTCCTAGGTCCTATCTCTGATATTTCTCTTCCTACCGGCCATTTCAGTCCTAACTGTAATCATCTCGTGCTTGCTACAGCTCGGAGTGTCTTTTCTGATCAGATTTGTCACCAGTACTTTACTGCTGGTGAACAGCAGCTCAAGTAGACTGAAGTCCTGTCCTTGCCTAATTTGCCTCTCCAGCAGCTGCACTAGGAAATTGCCACCAGCATAGTCTAGAAACCTCCTGGAACATGTACACAGTCTGGATGTCTGGATAGTTGAAGTCTGCCATGTGGATGAGGACCTGTGATCAGGAGACTTTTCACAGAATCACAGAATCAATTAGATTGGAAAAGACCTCTGAGATCATCAAGTCCAACCTATGAACTTTTGCTTGGTTTTGTACAGAGTTGTCCTCTTCATCTTCTTCATGCTCTTCAATGTGTGGTTGGTAGCAAACTCCTACCATAACATCACAGTATGGAATGTTACTCTTCTCCCTCTCTACCCCCTTCCTTCTGAAACCAATTGTAACCATCACTGATTGTGCCTCAGCCATGAGCCCTGTCCCACTATTTCTCTGTGATTCCAGGCAGGTTCACAGCCTTGGGATTCCCTTTGAACCCCAGTTTTCCTTGCTTGTTGTCCAGGCTGTGTAAGTTAGTGTACAGGCACTGGAGGGAAACCTCTGGACATCCTCTTTTCTGAGGAGGAATGTAGAAATCACATGTGGTCTTCTCATGTTTTGAGCCACTGTAGTGATGAGCACCAGAAAAAAAGGGAAAAGAAGTAGTTAACCATTCAGTACACAGTTTGTGAACTTGAAAAAGGAAGATAATGCATACTGTGTGACCAAACAGCATAGGAATGTAGTCACTTCCTTTTTTTTCTGAGCATTTTTCATGAAGTGCAGGGATCCTGTGAAGGGAAAACCAGTGTGTGATCAAGTGAATGCCTGAATACTGCATTAATACTGCAGACATGCACTGTGTGTGTGTATGCACATGCATGTTCTTTTCTGTTAAACATATACAACCCTTAAAAAGTAGCTATTCTTTTTACTTAATAGCCATTCAAACTTTTAACCTTGCTGACAGTCGTACATGTTTGAATATTCCAAGGTAAGTTTTGTATTGCTCTGTTCCTGCAAGGAACCTTTCCAACTCTACCAAAATACCCAAGCTACTGTTTCCAATTTTGTGATTAAATATTTTCTAAATGTCAAAAAGTGTCTTGTTTAGAGTCACAACAGAGATAACAGAGTTGTAAAGCAAATGTCATTGTGAATGCACTGTAAACAGTTAAGAGAATTCTTTAGAAATATGGGTGGACCTGAACCCCAGAAGTTAAAACCAGAACTCTTACATTTGTATATTTTTAAAAATACTAAGTTTAAAATACTGTTTGTTTTTGGATAAAAATGTTCCCATATGCTTGTTCTGTTTGTTTGTAAAGTCTGTTTCATCGTAGCATTTTTTTACTGGCAAATTTAGCATTTTTAATTCGAAACAACAGTAAGGTATATGCTGAAAAATATGTTTAAAATACATATATTTTAAAAGTGGATAGATATATACATAAAACACATTAGAAAAATTTTAGATATTTTTGTGTTTTAAACATATTTTAACTATCATTAGCTGTGTATATATATAATTACATACATATAGCATATATATTTCATAATTAGCAAGGCTGAGACCTTTCATCTCTTAAGTAGAATATAGGATTTGTAAGTGTTTATTTTGTTTCATATGTAGTTTAATGCACCATGAAACTGTTCTAGCAGTTATATCTAATCCCAGAAACTCTAGAGAGTAAAAAATTATCCCAATAATGTTCTATATTTTATTACATTTTTTTGCTGATGCAAATACAAATACTAACATTTAAACTTTGGGATTTGTTTTTCAAAGAACTTACTGAAGTTAGATCCAGCAGATAGATATTTGACAGAACAATGTTTGAACCATCCTTCGTTTCAAACCCAAAGACTCTTGGATCGCTGTGGAAGTTCCCCTTCACGCTCAGCTAAGAGAAAACCTTACCATGCAGACAGCAACACATTATCTAACAGGTAAATGTAGTCTTGTCACTGTTCTCACTGACATGTGCTCTGCCAATGAGTGAGTTGTTGTCATGCTTACATGCAACATCATCTACAAGAAAAGTAGTTTTTTGACCATTTAGACGCATTGAGACATAAATACTGTTCCGTGTGCCTCACAACAGAGGAAGTAGACAGAGTTTTAATGTACTGCAGCTACTCAAGCTGAAATCTTTGCTAACTTTCTGTGTTGAAGCCATTTCTGCATATGACAAAAAAAAAAAAGAAGTTGGCTTACTAACCTTAAAAAAATGTTAGCCTTTTTCTTGGAGAACAATAGGAATTTTGTGGTTTGGAAGATGCCCGAGATTCCAAAGGAATGCTCTTTTCCTTGGAAAGCTAGCATTGCTGTATATGCACAAATCTGTCCAAGATTTAAAAGTTCAAAATTCACACAGATTTTTAGCAGCTAAATGTCCTGAAAGTTGTGTGCACTGATCATGCTTCGAATGGGAGATGAACAGAATTTTGTCTGCAGTTGCAGTTATGGATCAAGTCTAGTCTATTTGCACTCAAAGCTGGACGTGTTTGCTCAGTGGCTGCCTTGTTGGACCCACACAGCTTGAGAGAAGCCACTCTATTTTAATACCCCAGTGAACCAGGTTTACTGGTGGATAAAATACTTCCGTACAAAAAGCCTCATGGTATTCCTTTGACAAAAGCTTTCCTAAAGGTCGCCCTCTGAAATATGCAGAATGTTAGTGGCTTTTAATCCTGCTGGCCATGTTTTTCTTTAGCTGTTTCTGTGAAATTCAAAAAATTGCTCCTCATTTTAGGATTTGGGGTGATGACATTTATAATTTATACTTTTTCAGAGATACACTTCAAAAAGTTTTAACTGCCCTTGCAGATATTTAGAAGTTTTACCATTAGACATGCGGCATCAGAAAGAAAAACCTAGATCTGTGGGAAACTTGTTGTCTAAGAGGCTTGCCTAGCTGCATGATTTAAAAATACTAGGTTCCTTATATCTCTAAAGTTTTAGAAAATACACTTCCTGCTAACTAAAAAGTATTTTAAACTGGCATTAAAATTGCTAACACTTAGAAACTGTAATAGAATGCATAATTAGATCACTGAAAGTGGTTGGCACAAAAATCCTAGATATAAAAATGGTTAGGCTTATCCAATTGTAATTATCAAAAGGATCAACAAAGGTACAGTGAGCTCTCACTTCAACCCTCAGTAATATATCTGAATTACATTATCGTAGATTTGCTACAGAAATATGTTAATTGCTCAGGTCCGTCAAGGCAAACAAGTCCAGCTGCAGCACTGCTCAGTCATGGCTGGTTTGCAGTGCCAGCTTAAGTCCAGAAGAATACCAGAAAATCTGAGATAATAAGTCCTGCTCAAATTAATTCAGACTGAGCGTTTGCAGAATCAACTCATATCTCAGTCCTGTAATCCCAAAACCAGAAGAGCTGGAAAGTAGAGGTTAAGGACATCACCAAGTAGCTCTGCACCAAGTCAGTCTGGGGTCAGAGCATTTCAGGTGCAGCTTTGGGGATGAGTTAGTGTGCCAAGAACTGGGATAGTGCCAAGTTCCACAAAAGTTGGGGTTCCTTAGGTAAGTTTTGAGTTTGGTGTTACAGAGTTTGCTGTGCTCTGAGTGAGCTCAGGCTCACTCCATCTCTATGTCTTTACCAGCAGAATAACTTCTTTCCCCCTCCTTTCCCCTTCCCTCCCCCTCCAAATCAGGAATACATTAGATAGCCTGGAGCATTGATTGTATCAGGATTTTTTGACAGTGATGACATACTTTATTGTTCTACCTTCCTTTGATATGCCAGGTGTACTTTAGATTCTATTTAGGTGGATATACAGCTAATTTTCATAACATAGTGCTTACCCTAGTGATGTGCACATATAGTACTTACATATATGCATAAATGTGTAAATATATGTTGGAATTTCTATGATTAGATCTGATATCTTCATTTTTTTTGTCAGCAAAATCCATTAACCAAGGCTGAGTTAGTCCATCAGAATATAACCAGAAACAACAATATACTAACACTTGCAGATTTTAGTGGAGCTTCTGATGCCTCAGTTGGCAGTATTTGATCTTACTGCAGTTAAATTTTGTGGGTTTAAATGGCAACTGAAATGAGTGTACTTTTTTGAAGTTATTAATACATGAATATGTAATCTGGTATATTAATGCTTCTTTATGCATTTTAATATAGAAATCAAGCCAGCAAAAGTTCTGCTTTGCAGTCACACCACAGATCAAACAGCAAGGATATGCAGACACTAGGGGCTGGCGGGCCAAGAGAAGAGGGTCTTCCAGCAAATGAAAGCTTTTTAAATGGAAACCTTCCTGGACCTGCAATTAGTCCAATGCATGCAAAAAAACCAAGCAACACCCCTGGATCTGGCAACAAGGATATAGCCAATAATAACATGCCACCACACCTTCTCAGCCCAAAGGACACAAAGGGAAAAACAGAATTTGATTTTAATGTGGACACCAAAAGTTCTGACAGTTCAGGTACAAAGTACCTGAAGTCCAACACCAGATCTCAACAGAACCGGCACTCATTTATGGAAACCTCTCAAAGCAAAACTGGGACGCTGCAGCCCGGCGACAAGCACAGCCGCCACAGCTACATCGACACCATCCCACAGTCTTCTAAGAGTCCTTCCTATCGAACAAAGTCAAAGAGCCATGGAGTTCTGACAGACTCTAAATCCGTGGGCAACCTTTCTGAGGCCAGGGCCCAAGCTGCAGAACCAAACACCAGTAGGTATTTTCCATCCAGCTGTATGGACTTGAACTCTCCTACCAGTCCAAGTGCTCCCCGACACGGTGATAACAGAACTTTGCTCAGTCCGTCTGGGAGGAATAACCGCAGTGAGGGCACCCTGGACACCCGAAGACCATCAACAAGACACTCCAAAACAATGGAGGAGTTAAAACTGCCAGATCACATGGATGGAAGCCATTCCCACTCTCTATCTGCTCCACATGAATCTTTTTCCTATGGTCTAGGTTATACCAGTCCTTTTTCTTCACAGCAGCGCCCTCATAGACACTCTATGTATGTGAGCCGGGACAGAGTGAGGTCAAAGGGCTCAGAGGGTGGCTTAAGCATAGGGCAAGGGATGGCAGCCAGAGCAAACAGCCTGCAACTGTTATCTCCACAGGTGCAGCATAAGTCACTCACAAGATCTGTTGGCTCATCACGAGAAGACTGTACGGAAGATTCTAATAGGGTTAGTCCAAAATATTGCCTCTTATGGGAAAGATTATCTTTCTCTTTTTACTTCATGTGTGGAGAGTGTCCTGTTTTCAGTCTTCTTTTTGTTTGTTTGCAGTTATTTATTTATTCGTCTTGTTGTAAGGCAAGGAATGTTGGGGTTTTTTTCAGAAGAATATTTCAAGGTGCTTTTAAAAAATGGACTATGAATGCCATTATGCTAAAGTACCAAAATGTGAGAACAGAAAAAAAATGTCTCTGAAATTAAAATTTCATTAGTAGTTCTTAGACTTTGGTTACATTGTCTGATGTAATTTTTATCCTATCATTTTGCTTAATTAACTCTCTCATTTGTGTTTTTATTTAGCTTTTTCTGTACTTATTTCTGTTATGAATGCTAATGTCAATTTTTGAAATGAGTGTTTCATTTACTTATAGCAGGACATTACTGATGAAATGCCATAATTTACTAAAGTAATATCAAAACTTGCAATATTTTTTTAGATGACTATGATAAATAGCTGGGGTAGTCTAGAGATTTTTGTGTTGTAGAGGCCACTGGTAATTGACTCCTTACAGTTCCACTAGATACTTGATTGTGTTTTTCTGTGAGCGTTAATGAGGGAGTAGATGAAGGGCTAGTTCTGGTGTTGATTTACATCCCTTACACAACACTTCTGAATTATCTGATGTGTTACAGATCAGCTGTATAAAGATGACTGCATTTGTCCTCAAATCTTTAAACTCCTATAGTAACAAAACGGTGCAGAGATAAGTATAAAAAAGAGTGTTTCTCTGTACCTGCACCTGTGATAAACTAAAGACAATGGAGAGAACATTTAGTTCAGATTTGTTGACAAATTGAAGGAAGTCAGAGTGCTGCAAATATTATGTAAGGTCCAAACGTTGTGGTTTACTCTGAGAAACTAAAATACTCTGTCTACCTTGTTCATCTAAGAAATATGTGTAGTTTGCTTAATAATGGTCTACAAGTACCATAAAAAAGAGTTTTCAGGTAGTGGTTGCCTCTTCAGTCCAGAAGAGAAAAAAAGGCATAATATGTTTTGTCATAGTTACCACATGTCCTCCATTCAGGATTATGTGTATTTACACATCAGAAAGTATCAAAGTAGGGGAAATGCAATGGATTAATAATAATAATAATAAAAAAAGGCTACCTGAAAGGAATTACAGCAGCTCCATTTCAAAACCATTTTTTTCTTTGTGTACTTATTTTTCTTTCTCATTTCAGTCAAGTTAAATGTTACTTATTCAGGATATTACTGTCGAAGGGCAATAATATAAACATTTCAACTTTTGATTGTAAAAGCTCATGCTACCTTGTATTCTTCAGTCCATTAGAATCTTTTTCTGCATTATGCAGCATTTAGTAATTTGAAGTAATTTTGATTTTACTTTCTGTTATTTAGAGGCTGATTGTTTTTCGAATGAATGATCAGATCATTCTTTGTCTTTTAAAAATTGTTTGAAAAATTTTTATTTTAATTAGAAAAATTGATGTGTATCTTAATGCTTAAGGTTTTGTTGATTTTCATTTGCTTTGGAAATTTTGGAAAGCCTATTTGTTTGTAAAGACCTTGCTTTTATCTCTTATGGTCAATATTTTTTAAACTTAAGCCTTCAGTTAATGCTTTTAAATATGTATTTCAACCATTAGAAGTGTGAAAGGAAAACGACTTCTGAAATGGATGCCAACTGTGTAAATTCACAAAGCTGTTTTTTGTTTGTTTATACTGCTTTCAGTAACAAATCAGACTTAAATTGTCAATCTTCCTATGCCTCTTAAAGGCATTTTCACAAAGTCATTCTTTGACTCCTTCCTATCTTCACTTTTCCCCACCCCTTTTCTGTATTCTGCATTAGGAATCAGAAAATTTCACACCCCTCAGGATTAGTGATCTAAAAAAATCATTAATAACACAAATATTCTCAAACATTGCTTATTGTTTTCCTTTTTTCTCACTTCCATGTTTCTAATTTCTCACTGATTTTCTCTTTAGCTCTACCAAGTCTTTTTAAAGAAAAACATTCTTTGTCAGGCTTTAAATCTTATTTAAAAAACAAAATCAACAAAAAACTTGCATTCAGTATTAGTTTTAGGGCTTTTCAAGTCTCAGTTCAACACTTTTGTTGTAAGAGTTCTTTTTACTTTTAAACTAAATATGCATGAAAAGGGTTTAAGAAGAAAATCAAGTACAGGTTGCTATTACTGTCTCATATTTGAAATTTAACTGCTGACAAAGAAGAGGTACCTAATACAAGTAGTAATCAAATGCTTCAGCCTCTGTGAAATTTTAGAAGAATCCAACTGTGATTTGAAGCATTCTTTTAGCTTCAGTTCTGGTCTTGGCATGTATTCAATGTTTGTTTAATCTGTGAGAGTGAGACCAGATCATCATCAACAAAAGGCAAAGTAGATTTTGCAAATCACTCATGCAGTGAATTGAAATCCCAGTTCTTAATTCTGGTTGGTTTTTTTATGGTTTTGATTTTTAATCTTTATCCTTCTTGGACATTCTAGATTTCAATTCATATGGGGATTTTAGTAGTTCCCTGTGGGACCTTGTAGAGGGCGTTGAATTTTATCTGGTCAGTCCATACTGCAGGACAAAATTGCTGCACCTGATTAATTTAAGAGAGGGGTTAAGCCATATCAGGTGGCACATTATGTGCACATGGATGTTTCTAAGGATGCATTTAAACTTTTGTTTGAAGTACTTCCAGGAAGTACTGTATTCAGAAAAATAGAATTAATTAAAAGTAATTATATTCCATTTGCTCTCCTATCTGACTAAACTATTCACCTATGGATTCCTTAGTTCAGAGACTTCCTCGTATTTTGCATACAGTAGATTTTATGACTGTTGGTACCTCTAGGTACTGCTGTTTAATAGCTGATAAGGGATCATAGTGCTTTGGTATTGCAATTATCACAAATTATATGCATTTCCTGTTTGCTTTTTAAATTTGCCAGTAGCAGAGTGACATCAGAAATTAATTTAACAAGGCCTGCCTTAAAAGATTCTTCCAGAGACATTAGAGCAATATTGCATTCACAGTAAAAGTCTGAGGGTTTGAATCAGGCTCAAGTTTTTAAAATTGCAACTTAGAGGCAAAATTCTGTTAATGCCATTTTTGTCATTTTGGAAAAGCAAAACCAACTAATTATTGACTACATAGTCTGTGATTTGATACTGGCAGTTATTAATAACATGAAAGGAAAATTTTGTGGTCAAGTTTGGAGTTCTGTTGCTTATGTATGTTGGTTAAAAGCTGCAAATCAGTTTATAGTCTTTAATTTTAAATAGTTTGTTGTTCTTTTACTTAGGGTGGAGCATATCATGATCCACACACAGAAGATGGAGCATCTACTAAGGAAAATAGAATTCTGTATAATGACCCTGTTCCGAGAAGAGTTGGCAGCTTTTACAGAGGTAATTTTGTTGTGGATCTTTCAAATTTAATCAAGAATTTTAGTATGGAATATAAATTAAGTACTAGAAAGGGATACAGAGGATTAACATGAACAACTACAAGCAAAAGCACATTTACATAATCCAGTTCAGAATAAATATTAAAACAGGGTTATGTATGTGCATATATATATATATACATACATACATGCATGCATGAAGGTGTGTCTGTATATACACTCACAAAAATACTGTTCTATTGTGGCACACAAAAGATGGTAATTTCTGAGCAGCTGCTTCATGGCTAAACCTGGGTAATTGTTTCAAAAAAGATAATAAGAAGCTAATTACTGTCCTGCAAGCATTAGGAGACTTGTGGGACTCCCCTGAACCTAAAGAAGGCCCAATCAGCTGAAATTCGATTATGAGTCACCTAATAACCCTAAGTAGAGTCACAAATCTCCCTCTGATCCTCCTCAGGTTGACCAGTTGGCTGATGACCTGATTTAGACATGTTAAAATCTGTGGCAATCCTTTCAAGTGTCCCATTGCAATATTAAAACCTGTGAGCAATATTAAAGCTCATACTGGTTTGAGCAATGCTTTTGAGTGTAAGTTTTTGTCACACATGCATCAGAGAATCTTTAAGAATCCTCAATCCTGAATCGCTGTTATTAATCCTTATAACACTCCTAAAATTGGACATGGATTATCCTTCTTTTTTATACATTGTGAAACAAAAGTTCCAAAAAAGAATGACTTTCCATAAGTCATGTGCTAAGGAAACTCTAGGTCTGGGGATTATTTAATTCCTTTTAATAAACTAGAGGTTTTTTCCTCTTTACCTAAATCTATCAAACAAATGTATTTTAGACGGACTTAATTATTGCTTTGGGAAAATGGTACTATATTTAAATAATAGTTTGATGATATTACATGCAAAACCAGTGATAATAATATGTACAAGTAACTGTGAAAAAAGTAAATTCATATTTATGTAATTCTGAAGTAGTGACTTAATACAAATGTTATTAGCGTGTACTTTAGTACTACAGCTTGAACAAAAACTTACAGATTCAGTTTTGATGACAGTGTAATGTGATGCTGCATTAATGCTGCAACTAGTGTCTGATCAATTTTTAATCAAGTGCAGGTGTTTCTGGTGGTACTCATAATTCTAATAAATTTATGTGCTGGGTATGTGCAGTGTATTTTCAAAATCACAGTATGTCTGTTTGAAAAATACATATCTGACAATAATATCTGATTTTGACACTTTAATTTTTAGTCCATTATCTCTTATTCTTAGTTACCTTAAAATCCAAAGTAATTCTTTTCAGGATGGTCTCATTTTACAACTAATATTACCTTGCAACTGTCACAGAATGACAGCTTTTATTTCAATTGTACCTAAAGTGCTAGTGTGTCTTCATGCTCTTGTTCCTGTAAGAGGAAGAGAGGAAGCAGAAAGCTGGGATTTTTGGCAGAGCTCAGTGTACATTGTTTGCCATTTCTCTGTTCAGTTCCATCTCCGCGTCCAGAGAGCACGTACATAGAAAACAACGTGTCAAACAGAGCCTCTGTGTTACCAGCAGACAGCAGCACGGTGGCAAACCACTCAAAAAGACAAACCACCTTTGATACCTGGTGAGTTGTTATTTACAGAGATGTGTAGAGAATGGAAGGGAAAAAAGGGGTTTTGAACAGGAGGAAAAAAAACCCCACACTTTTCTTAAGACTTGCAGTTGTCTGTGTGCTGAGTTGCTTCCTCCGACTATACTGGCATAGCATGGCATGTTTTCTGTCCCCTTTTGAGCAGCAAGAAATACTTCATCACACCATAACATGAGTGCATTAAATTAATATACTTTTGTCTTTCACAATTTTTTTTCCATTATTAATCTTCAGTTAAAGATAGTACAAAGTGCTTGTGTGCATATAGTATGGATAGCAATCTGTGGGTTCCAGAAGCATGAATTGTCATACAAATGGAAAAAATATCAAAGTGCATGTTTCCATATATACGATAGGACTGTATTAATGAATATTTTCACCCTACAATGGGGACCACTGCCCTTTTTGTTTACGCACCACAGAAGGAAATGAATACATTCTATGGGGAAAATGGACTAAGCAACATCTTAACGGTGTATATTGATTTTAAAAGATTAAAAGCATCACATGGCTCCATTATATAACATAAAACACTTAACTGTAATTATGCTAATAAAATGACTGCGTATGCGTAGCTTTGCAGGACTTAAAGGGAAATACCTTAATTTTGTTTCTCTGAGAGCTGTTTGGCTCTAAAATACTCTTAATCTTCTACTTCGTTCAAACACGATAAAGCACACTGAATAAAAATAAACCAATGGAGCTTCAAAGGATTGGTGGGAGGAATGGACTGTGTACATTTGCACGGTTCAACTCTCTGAAACACTTCTCTCTGGAAGTGCGATAAAGTCATGCTATCAAAGAACTGTTTCAGTGGTTTGTTGACTTAATGTGTTTTCACACGAACAACCTGTGGATTATGTGCTTAAAATAGAGAGGGGGTGGGGGGTTGGGGGATGGTGGCTAATTGGTATTTCAGCTTGTGTTGAGGTTATATACCTGTGTCAGTAATAGAAGATGTTTACTCCAGAACCTTTGTCACCTGCTCTGATTCACTAGAGTCTGCTTCCTGTCCTTCAGTAGCTCCACCTACATCCATTTTGTGGAAGTTAGCTGAGGAAACCGATCATTTATGTAAAAAGGTGGTACTTATATTGTGAGTTATGTGGCTAAAGAAGGTATTTATTCCTGCTGTTGAATCCTTTTACATATTTTGTTGTCCTTCGTACCTGGATCTTTCTATCTTGCATATAACATAAGACATGGAATCTTGTTTTGCTTTACATATTATTCAGCAATATATTGCCTTGACTGCAAAGAAACATGTAATGTTATTTTAACTCTGAACTGAAATAATAGCCTATGTTATTAGAGCTGGTTGGGAATTTCTTTTACAAAGTTGGTTTTCTTCATTTACGATGAAAAATTGTCAAAACCAAAACTTTTCAAAGGAACATCCACTAACTTTTATTGTGAAGATTCTTCAACTCCAGGATGGAATTGCCAGTCAAACCCAGAGATTCTCTCAAAATAAAAAATATTCTGGAGTCAGCATTATTTTTTGGAATGTGGGGAACTTGAGTGCAGGGCCTTTGTTCTTCATTATTTAAACCAGAGGCTTGAGTCGAGATCTTATATCTAACAAGTGAATGCCCTGAACCAGAAGTTAGAGGTTATTCTGGAGCACATTGTTTGGTTCCCTCAATATATTCTCTTGAAGCTGTTTCACCTTGTTAAAATAGCAAAAGGACTACAGAGGTACTAAATATGGCCTAATGAATAAGGCCTTTCATTAACCTTGAGACAGTTAGATTTAAGTCCTTGATCCAATTAATGTACTCAAATATTTTCACAAAGTGGAACAGCTCCTTTGAGAGAAGAACCCATAGAAGAATAAACATTTCTTCTTATGAAATGGGAGGAATAGCAGTACCTGCAACACCAAGTTACTGCTATTTTGGCATATGCTTCTCTTTCTCTTTGCTTTTTCTACTCCCTATTTTCCCAAGATGTTTCCTGCCCAGCTCTACATGTTAACTCTGTTCAAGTTGTCCTGGCAATGGTCTGATCTTGTTGCAAAATTGTTCTGTGCCATAAACGCAGCTTAATCAGATTCCTGAGTGGTGTAGAATCTATGTTCCTCTACTTAATTTTCTGTATAGAAGTTGTGTAAATGCTTATGAAAATGTTTAAAGCTCTAATGGAATGTGATTCTGCTTACATCAATTTTATGATGAAGTAAATATTTGATGTTTGACTGACATACATAACTGGTACATGACAATTCATGTTGAATTATGAGTGACATGTATTCCACCTGGACTTGCCACTACTGTAAAATATTGCTTCTCTCATAATATTGCTCTGTGTTGCCTTTCTTCTGTCAAAGATTCTGTGAATGTTTGCTAGATTGAATTGTCACAGATGTTCCCTTGTCTTTGTGTGCATTTCTTCGCTCTGTCCCCACTGTCCAGCCTTTTAAAATAAAGATGTTATAAACTTGACTTTTGTCATCAGATTTTACTCTTAAATTACTAGATCATTTCTGAACTTTAGACAACTTGATTTGAAAAAAGGCAAATTTTTCATCCTTCTAGAAAATCTTTTCTTTGCCAGAGTTTAATTTCCTGTAAAGGACCTTGAACTTGCTCAATTTTTTTCTTTTTGATACAAGAGTAGATGTTTTATTCTCTTTCACTTGTATGAGCTTTGTCCTGAGCTGGGCAAAATCAGTAGGTACAGGCAAGATACTTAATTGTGTTCTGCCAGTGTGCCAGAACATTGCCCTGAATTATATTTACCATTGTCATAGTTCCAAATATCTCTTTAAAATAAATTCCAGCATGAAGTACTCTATTTCACACCATATTGGAAGTGTTTGCATTGATTACTTACAAGATATTTGGGGGCTTCTGGAAAGTTTTTCTGTTTAGATCTTTCATGTCCATATAAGTGTAGTCATTCTATGACAAGCAGCTTGTCATACCTATCTGCAAAATAATAAAAAGAGGAAATATGTATATAATATTATTATTATTATTATTATTTTATATTTATATAATATATATAAACACACATAAACTCTCTTGTCATTCAAGAAAAGAGGAAAAAAAAAATAACATCTCACTCTTAGAAGAGTCAAAGGCTTAAAACTCTACCCATTTTTAAGTTTCAAGACTCCAAAACAACACAGTATTTTGTAAACAGGACATGACTGACTGTTAAATCATTGTCTCAGTATCAGTGTAACAATTTAGTCACACTTACTGTTACTGAAACTAGAAGATTACCAATATCTGAGCAAGTTAGTTTAAATCTTGTTCAGCTGTGTCTGCAGTATGATTGTTGCTGCATTGTAAATACTTTCCAGTCCTTTTATGGAATTTGTAAAAAATATCAGGAAATTTCAAATTCTGAATGGTATTCTGTATATGAGATGGTAGATCTGGGGTTTATTCCAGTTAGTAAATCCTCCTTTTCCACACAAAAAAATAAAAAATTGCAGCCCCAAACAAAGTTCAGATTTGATCTTTGATTTTTAAGCTTTCAGTGCAAGACTTTTAGACCAAGAAGTTTTACTGTAGACTTCAGGATGTGGGATTGACATTCTTACCCTAAACTATCCATTTGGATTACTTCATTAGTTTCTGACATTATCTTGCCTTTGCTAAATGGTAACTCTGGAATTGCCCCTTAAGGGTTTTACTTTAAGCAAAACTAAAAGCCAACATGGAGAATTAGTGTTTGTTCATTTATCTTCCAAAGAAAAGTTCAGGTATTTCAGTAACTTCTCCATTAGGCAAAAACCTTACTCATGTAATTACGATTGGTTCAGTAAAGGGAGCACTACGCTGGCAGTTAGAGGGTTTCCAAGCCAGGCTGCCTGAGACCAGAGTTGCTGAAAAATAGCTAAAATAAGCATGACAAATTGCCTTCCAAAAAGAGCTGTCTGCAATACAACTCTCTCTATGGCAGCATGAATGCAACATGCTTCCTATTGATTCTTTTTAGTTAATATGAAAGCGCATCAGCTTGCTTGCCGCGTGCATGTTTGCTGCTACACCTCATTGTACCTGCATGAAGCTGGATACCTTTCCTGCCAGGGGCAATAAATAGGAGTGATAATCGCAGAATTTTGATTTATACCTATGCTTTTTCCACGTGTTTCAGACCAGAATAACCAATGTGTTCTACATTAAATGTCCTAAGCATGCAAAAGATACACAAAGATAAAATAACAAAGCACAGGACATTTTGCCTTTGGTTTCTTCTTGTGAATGAGCTCTCTGAGTGGGGCCTCTTATCTAGGGCTAGTCTCTACTTGCTAGTAAAACAGCACAGATTCTGGTGTAACTGTTTGCTTTCAAGAGCTGAAGCTTTGTGCAAAATGCCAAAATACTTGCAGTATGTTGTAAAAGTTTGGTGTTGAGTGACTCGACCATACCATAAAGATTTTTTTCTGATAATCCTATTTTTTTCCTATACTGTCCACTATCTAAAAATCATGTTTTGGGATGCCTAAAATATACCAGTGTTTCATCATCGATCAAAATGTTCTGCTCTATTTTTACTCAGTACAGAATCCTGGTGTTGAAGCTTCCTGCTATAATGCTATATATGTTCACACTCTTCACATAATGAGCATGTGTTTTGAAGCAGTTGCTTTTCAAGGTCAATGCTTTTTCAGACAACCGTACTGCAATATGAGTCATAGGAGTTAATGACATAAACCAATCAGTATGAAGCCACTGACTTTTGGGTAAGCAGCAATTGAAAATGAGCAGAGTTCTCAGCCCCTTATTTTCCTACTCTGGTCACTGTAGTCATAAAGAGGAAATGATGGTGCAGAATTTCATTTCTCTCCTTTCTGCTCAACTGCTATAGAGAGCAGTTTTCTCATCCAGGTTCATTGGGCCAGAGAAAAGAATCACACTTGAGTGAATCTCTATCTACAAGTATGGCAAAAAATGTTCCAAGCTGCACTCTGAAGATTAACTTCACCTTTTAAGATAGCATCTCCATTTTGGAATAGACTTTGGAACAGAAAAGCCATAGCAAGACATTGAAAAATTTTAAAGGACAATGTAGAGTAACCTCCCGGGAATTTGCTTATGATCTGACTCTGGTTCCTCAGCGGACAACACCGTCATTGGTTTGGTAATTTGCACTGGGGCTATGGTTTGGGATATCTTTGTAGATGTGGATGCACAGTAACTCCTTTGGGGAAAGGCTCAGAAGGTTCTTAGCCCCATTTACATGACATTCTGAGCACAAGAAGGATACTTGGAGTGCATGCTTTCCTCCAGCTTTTCTAACAAATCAAGTAAAAATCATTGAGTCAATAATTCAGTAGGTGTTTTGTCTGTGTTCAGTCGGTCTCATGAGTTCAGTGAATCCGTAAAGCTGTCAGTAGTCTTTACTCTCGGTGCTCTAAGTGACTAATACAAGAGTGCCTTACATCTGTTATGCAGTAGTACCAAATACAGGGACATGACAGCAACAGGAATCCCTGGCAATCCAGTATATTTAAAATATGTGTTATAATAATCATATTAAACTAGAGATTTTTTCCTGTAGTGTTGCAATGTTCACATTGAATCTATGTTGTCATGCAGCTGAAAGTGTTTCTTGGATCCAGATGTAAGTTCCAAAAAAAACTAAAATAGGAAAATTTCTACCATACTCCCTGCCTATGAATGTTTCCACTAAGACCATTCTCTTAATCAACAGTTGCACTTTATCCAGCATTAAAACACTGCATGCATTTATATTTAAAACCAGGTAACACTTTGAGCTTGAGATGGTTTTGTGTAGAAATTGAGGAGCTAGTCAAACCAGCTACCAGAGTGAATTTTGTTGATAAGGAGGATGAGTCCAGTGATTTCTACCCCAATTATGTGTTTCACATTTGCTTGGAAAAAAGTCAGCTTGGCATGTAGTAGCAGCTGAATCACCAGCTGATAGCATAGCATTTAAAGCCAGAATTAGAAGCCAGTGACAACTATAGTAGAGAGCTAAGTGTTGCTACATTACAGTTATTCCCAGAAAAGCTGCTCCTGTTCATCATCCAGAGCCCTTAAAACTGTGGCTTTCCTCCTTTAGGCTTTCCATCAAGACAATGGAATAATTTCTTTTTTGTTTTCATACAACTTAGGACTGAATAAGGACTATTAAATCACCCAGCATGATTTTCTGTGTGTTGGTTGATATTAAATGTCGTCTGGTCTCTGGGATCCAGGCCCAGAGGCACACCTGACTAATATCTCCCATTATGGGGTCCCAATTTGAAATGTCAAAGATGGGAAATCCACTTCACTAAAGAGTTTGTTCTGGCAGTTAATGATGCTTATTGTGAAAATCAGTGCCTTATTTCTAATATTACTTCTCTGGCTTCATCATCCACCTACTTGTTCTTGATCTTTAGTCTGAAGATCTTTCTCGTATTCTGTAATTTCTTCTTGAATAAGTACTTGTGCATCAGGCAAGGAAACTAAATATTTGGGCTGGTTTGGCTGTGTTTCTGAACACACTAAAGAGATGGAAATCTGACTTTTTAAACATAGGCCATTCTTTCTATCTCTGAAATTATTTCTGTGACACTTTCCTGTACCATTTTCAATTTTCAAGCTATTTTAAAGGGCACTATAACTGCATTCAGTTACGTCTCACCAATGTCCTTTGTTGAAAACCATCTTTTTACCCTGTATCAGTACTTTACATACATGGTTTACTGTGTATTCTGAAAGTAACATGTTATTTATCAGCTGTAGTTACTTCAGACATGTAAAAGGCGGAAATTCAGTCTTCAGGCAAGTCACCTGTTCCATTCTTGGGTCACCTCCTTTTGCCAGCACTGTCTCACCCATGCATAACAAAATAACTGAAGTTTTTAAGTTGAAATGGACAACAGTAGTTCCCCAGCTTCCCTGATGATAAATTTGGAACCATGTCAGCAAAGTGGTTCTGTCTGGCGAACTTTGCAACTCCTGGTTCTCCAGCAAGGAGTGGATAAACTGAATCTGTGCTTTTAAACCTCATCACCATTTGTATGTTCTCTCAGATATGCTTTTCATTTTTCTAAAAGACCTCGTGTGTGATATTTTGGTTTGAGTATTAAGTTCTGTCTTAGAAGAAGACATGCATGCTTTCCTTTTCCCTAAATAACTATTCATTGGTTTAAACTAATCATTTTACCCTAACACTGTGTACCTCCTATCCCATTTAATAAGACTATCTGGTATTTGTATAGTAACCCTGGAACCAATTAATGCTAAAACATTAAGAATCTTTTTACTTAATTCAATAATTTCCATTCTTTGGCATCAGATCTCTGTATTACACAGAATTTACAAAGTAAATACCAAAATAAAATCTCTCTTACAATACCTTATTTCATATTTAGGAAAAGTCCTGAAAACCTTAACTCAGAACAGCTCAAGGAGAAAGAAAAGCAAGGTTTTTTCAGGGCAATAAAAAAGAAAAAGAAGAAATCTCAAACTGTAAGTATGCGGCATTTCTAATAAAAGAAGTTATATTTGAATTACAAATTGGTTTTGAATTACACCATTTTAATATGCTGGATTAGTACAGTACCTTTATTGTATTTATGCTCATGTGTATATCTATTTCTTCTTTTATTTTCTCTAGTCACTGTATGAAAGTCAAACTCTTTTCCTATTCAGGGTTGATTTTTCTGCCTTTTCAAATATTTCTTCACTTACTAGTCCTGTGCATCTTTGTTTTCATTCAGACCCTTTGAGAGACAGTTTTGATGCAAGTTTTAAGCTGATGTTGCAACAAATTCTTTTGCAGGATCTGGTGATACCAATCCAAGAATAGTAAATGCATTGTTGTGTCTCCTCAGAGCTTGAATAATTTCAGGCATCCATATGGAGGAAATCAGACTGTTATAAATGAGAATTCTTTCCAGTCTTTTTCGTATGAGTGTCTTGGTACCAGCCTCCATCTTCTTGCTGCATCCCATGACTGGAATAAGGATGATGTATCTTAACCATTCTTAATGTTTTATGTTCTGTTGAGGGAATGGATTGTAGCTTTTGTTATTCACTACAAGTCTTTGTTGTCTCTTTTACATTTTTACATTTTCATATACTTTTTGAGAGGGAAAAAGAACTTTCTTTTATCAGAGAAAAGTGATATATTGACACTTCACAAAGTTTTGTAGTCTCCCTAAGAACTGAAGTAACCTAAACATAATCTCATTCTCAAATGACAGTTCTGGAAACAGTAAAACATTTTGAATTTTATTTGCACAAAATTGTGATGTTTCTATAAGTGTAAATGCAGTTATAGTTTTGAAGATTCTCTGAATGGAGTAAACCATGGTCATTCCAGGCAAAGGGGAGTAAGGAGTGAGGTAGTATGACTCTGAGTGTTGGTGAAGGGCTGATCTGTTGAGAACTGGGGGAGAGGATTGGTTACCAGGTTTTTTTGGCTTTTTAAATTTTCTTTGAACTGTGTGGAATATATGCGTACATGTATTAACTAGCACTCAAAAAAACATCTCACCTTCCTGCTGGGCAGGATTTAAAGCAATGGCATCTACCTCTCCTTCTGATCTTGTTCATGCTCATACCTGTACACAGTTCAAATATAATCATTTGTATCACACAACTGAACAAAATGTCTCGATCATAGCTCTGGGATTATTTGATATCATTAGTTCCACTTGATATCATTGGTTCCACTGATGCATTTTCAAAAAAAAAAAAAGGTGTTAAATTTGCACTGTTAAAGTCTACTCTGATTCCAGCCATTCAGACATGGTGACAGGGAACACTCTGATAGCTCATCTGATAGATGGTGTATCAACTACTTCCAGATTAAACTGTGTGAAGGAAATATAGACTGGATTGTGTTGCATCTCAAAATCTGGCACTTTACAAAACACCTAAATCAAAAGTACCTTGATCTGTAGCTACCAAAGTCATCACTGATTACAAGATAGGACAGATTTATACAGAATCCTTACTCCTGTTTCTTCTCACTGTTAAGAAGAGGGGTAGAGGGGAACAGGGAAGGAGAGAGAGGTTTCGCGTAAGGGAAAAGTGTATTTGCTGCTTAGAGCTGGTATCTCACAGAAGATGAGTGAATTAGTGAAATAAGGTAGTGATACAACTCTTGCATCCTTAACTAGAAACTCGCTGAGATCAACTTGATTTTTTGATCCAACCAGAGACCTCTTTTCATTTCTACTTGGAGCTGATTAAGAGGACAGTATCTAGGGACAGACTGTACCACTGATGTGTGTACAAGTGTCTGGTTAAGACACTGTTCTTTGTTCTTCATCTCTTAGTTGAAAGACATCTACCTAACAGACATTGGGATGTTCTTTAGGATCTTCCAGCACAAACAAAAGTTACTGCCTTCAGTTCAGCACCAAGTTTGATTTCAGCACTAAAAGCTGCTAACAGCGCTGTAATATTACCTCTTCAACGAATAATGTTTTCTATGATTTCATATTAAGTCAGCTTGTGACTACCCAAGATTTTTTTCTGAGGGTTAAAATATAGTGTCCTAGGAGTATGAAATGTCAGTTATTTACTCAAACACAGACTTTCTGCAGCAAATAGCAAACTAAACCTGAGGACTGTCCCAGTGCCGGGAAGCACATCATAGCTACGATTTACTTCTGATATCCTTTGGCAAGTCTCATTTTGATGGTGATCGTCATAGAAGATATCTGAAACTGGATTCAAGGCATCTTCTTAGTAACGTCATTCTCAAAATATCTAATAGCCCAGAACTGATCCCAGTTCTCGACGCCTCCTCCTGCAGAGTCGTTCCCATCAATCATTCTCCCTAGAGTTCTCCAGGTGCAGTACCTCATGGGGTAATAATTGTTACTGCCTGTTATGGGAATCCTTTGCAATGTTGCTTTTGCAGAGCTGTTCTTATCCATTCTCCTTTTCATCTTGTTCGAAGTCTTTTAGTAACATAGTAAAAGTTTTTGAGGATTTCTAGAGTCACAGTTTTTTCTGTCCTCTGCCATCAAACAATTTCATATCCATGAGGGTTGTGCATTGTCAGTAGGCACTATCTTCAGAGGAGCCTGAGTTTTGCAGATTTTGGCACAAATTTCAAGCTATCAGTCTGAAGAAATTACTCTTTGGAAAAAATTGTTGCAGGTGAGCATTTCTCTTAGCAATGCTTTCATTCCTTTTTAATTTAGTGAATTCAAACCAGGAAGATCTGACCATAAAGTTCCTAAACCTAAGCTATGCTAATTTTTTACTTTCTTTCATTAATTTGGATGGAATCTAGAAGCTGAGAAAGCTGTTTGAAACCCCTTGCTTTTGGTAGTGCACCCATCATTCTGTTTAGTCATATAGTAATTCTATTGCATTATAAAGTTTTCTTATGACAGGCAGAATAATGCAAGACACAGCATATGTGTCCTGTTCTTGTTTGCACCTGAGAAGGTCTCATTCATAATTTTAATATCTTATAGTTCTGTTTGCTGTTTGTGCATCCATTGATCTGCTCTTAGGTTGTGCTAGAGAAATTAAAATAAAACAACCAGTGTCCTTGCACTTATACATGAAGTTGTTAATGGCATATTTATAATAGAACTGAAATAATTCATCTTGGAGCCCTAAATCTTTCTGCAATTTAAAAATAGAATACTTTTATTTTTTTGCTCATTCTGAAACCAATTGCTATTATTGTTAGTGTATCTTTGATATTTTCTTTATATAAAAATAAGAAATGTCACACTGCTTTAGGTCATTATCATAAGTACAAATGATTGCCAGAGTTACAGGATTTAATCCAAAGCTCAGTAAAGTCAAAAAGACCTACCAGTTATTTCCAAAAGGCTTTGAAACACACTTTGCATTCCTAATGAACACGGAAATAAGAAGAGGTGTACTGATCTTTTTTTACATGCTTTCTATGCATTGAGATCCTTGAATTTGTTCCATAGGCTTTTTTGTTCAATCATTGTTGTATTTTCCCAAAGAAAATTATAGGCTTTATAACATGTATTGTTGGAATTAAAAAAAAAAAGAAAGAAAGAAAGAAAGAAAAAGGATTAATATAGTAAGGGCAGCTCTCTTGAATTTAAATACTATGCATTTAGTTTTTGTATCTTATATTGCAGACAGACTCAACCAACGGGGAGAATCCAAGCATCAAGAAATCCCTCTTTCCTCTTTTTAATTCAAAGAATAATTTAAAGCATAGTTCTTCTTTGAAAAAGCTTCCTGTAGTCACTCTACCCATGGTATTAATTTTTAAGTACAGTAGTGCTGTAAAATGCTCCAGTAAATTTGTTTTACTGACTACAGCAGCATGTGGTTTATTTTCATGGTGTCACTTCCTCTTCATGCCAGTTAAGTATCTTGGGCCAGTTCAATAAATTTAAGTAAAATTCTATTGAAATAGGCTGTGCCTAAAAATTTTTTTTATAGTATTTGATATACTGAAAATGTAATATACACAGTTCCAGAGAGAATGACTCCTGGGAGTAAGACTAAAGAAGGAAAATAGTTGGGAAATAGTTGTGAAATTGTGAATGTTTAAAAATAAACTGTCTCATTCTGTTTCATCAGGAAAAAAATTAACCTGGTTTGGTTTATAGCTATATAATAAATACATATTTTTATAAAAACTGCTCTTTATATATAAATTTAATCAATCAAGTATTAACAATGGATTATCTGAAAAAGAAATTTTAGCTCATGTGTCTTGTATTTTTGTTTGTCTTGATTCTTCATGATAACAAGCAGCTTGCATTAAAAATAGGTTACTTTTTGATTTTTTTTTTTTGCTTAGAATTCTTGAAATGAGATAAAAATCTGCATCTAAGTTTTAAATTATCCTTCTGCCATAAAATTTCACCTAGGGCTGTTTCCTAATTTTTGCTTTAGTTTGGGATATTTGTGGAGGAGAAGAAAGAAGGGAAAAGAAAAAACTGTTTGTTTTGTGATGGCAAAATCAGTCAAGACATCATTTTAGAGAGACTTTGGTCTGCTTCACTTGGGAACAAATTTATAGAACTGATCCATGGTCTTAACTGCAGTATGGAATGCTTTTTAAATGAAGATGAGGCTCAACAATATTTTTATTTTTTTTATTTTTAAGGCCTTGTTTAACTGCTCTCTCTTACAGCAAATAACACTAACAGCATGCGAATGCTTTAAGGGCTAAGGGTAGAGCAAATCTGCATGATATCCACAGTCACTTGCTCTTACTATGGGGAAAATTATTGAAAGGTCATTGCAATTCTGCTGCAGTAATGGGCTTCCCTTGTGTACTGTAATTAACTGTGGGAAATTATTTACGGCTATTCTTAAGAATATATTAGGAGACCAGTGTTTAATATTTTGTTGCAGATGCCTAACACTGATGGTCAGGATCTCTTGGCATTACAGAAAGCCATTCATTCTTCTAATCACCAGAGCAGCAGGCAGAAGGATTGGCATCCTGAGAAGATGACAGAAATCCAGCCTCATGTAAGTGGTGTTATCAATTCCCTGTATTTTAGTATCAATGAGGTATCTTGAAAGCTTTTTCTCTGGTGAATAAAAAAATTGCATTTGACGTTATTTCCCAAACTTCTGATTCTCTTCTGATTGAACATAAAAAATCATATGCCTGTGGTCCTGCATAATTTTTTGAAAATCTAGATATGAATGACAAGGAAAAGAGAGATTAAATGTCCCTGTGTCAGTCTTCAAGCCCTTCAAAATATTGTTATGGTTTTGTATTAGAGGCAAGCAGTGTTTCAGTGCACATCTGTGGATGCAATGCAATGCTGTACGAAAGCCCTCAAGAGAGCTCTGTAAGGAAGGGTGAATCCTGAGGCCATGCTGCCACAAGGCACAGTTTGATACTTGCAGTGGTCACCAGAGCATCAAGACCATGCCATGGTGTGGCTGGCACAGACTGCAGTTTAAGCAGGCTTCATTTTTGGAGCGTAGAACTGCAGTAATGTAACTTTTTTTCTCCAGTTCTAAAACCAACTTTGGGGACAGGGTTTGGGAGGGAGCTTCAGTGCCATCACATTGAAAACTGGAAAAGAGAGTTTGTTGCAGCTGCAGCATTTGAAGAAACAAGTTGCTCTGTGAGCCATGGAATTTAGTGAGGCTGTTTTCATATCACTTTGTGTACTCAGGCTTCCCCAGGCTTCTGTTACTCATGTTCAGTAACTCCATATCTCCGTTTTCCTTCAACCTGCTCACCCGTTAAAGAAGCTGTGAGAGACCAGAGCTGCTTATCTCCCAGCTGGCAACAAGCAAAATATGGTACTGCAGAGTTCTGGCTGACCTTGTTTCAGTGCAGATGATTACTCAAGACTCTCTCTAACCCCTAACTGATGTTCACAAAATTTTTAAGACCTTTGCATTTCTGATAGCTGTGCCTCACAAAATGTGGCTAAGATTCTAAAGCTAATAGCTAGAGAAGTGACAGATGGACAGCTAATGCAATTGTCTATGCCTGCATTTTCAAAGGAAACAAGGATGAAATAATTGATGGGAGCAATTTTTTTTCTGATGTAGAAAAGGTTCCACTTTGTCAGGTAGCTAGTAGATTGAATCGTGATGAGAAGACATTTTCTCAGGTGTGTAGTCAGAGCTTGTAATGACATATACCAAATGAATACAAATTAAAAGTCCTGTGAAGTTCAAGATGTTCAGTTTAGGTTATGACAGTTTTGTTGTAGGAATTCTGATATGACGGAGAGCAGAAGGTCAAATGCTTTTCTGTGTGTCTTTCAGAGCCAGCCATTAAAATCTCTTCGAAAGCTCTTACACCTCTCTTCAAACCATCCTGTCCCTGCTGAGCCCCGCTTCCAGCCCTTACCGAGTCAGCCAGCCAAAGCTTCTTTTTCTGAAGTGCGGATTCACCCCATGAGCCAGAGCTCCAGCAGCGGCAGCAGCAACGTGCGGCAGGAGGCTCCGCCCAAAAGCAGGCCAACACTGCAGATCCCGAGCCAGCTGGAACCCACCTGGCACGTCTCCCCCGTGAACAGGAGCGTGAGCGATGGGCCTCCCTACTCCGACCAGCTGCCTTCCAAGAGCGGACAGAACGGGCACACGTACACCCGGACAAACCGGTCGCGAATGCCAAACCTGAATGACTTAAAAGAGACAGCCTTGTAATTGCACTCCAGAGAATAGGCCAGTTTGGGTGGAGATCAGCATAGGGGAGTGGTGGTGGTTCTGGTGATGGTAAGACTGCATTTTCAGCTTTATAAAGGTGTGCAATATGTACATGTGGAGCTATGCTGTTTGGCACCACGGAGAGAGTCAGGGATTATACAGTAAAACAAGTTGAACTATAAATTATCAGTCATCAGAAATGTCGCTGGATGCCAGACAGAGTGTGCAGGTCAGGGAGAAAATGCATTGCCATTTTCTCTCATTTACATTCCAGCTTAGTGCACATCTCTGTCTGAAAGCTGGGAGACTTCTGGTATGTATTGGCACTTATAAGGGTGAAAACATTCATGTCTAGACCTATGCCCTTACTACATTTTTTGCTGCCTAGTTAAAACAGTGGGGTTTATGTGATAAAAGTGTATCCCTGTTAAGGGTTTAAAGTTAAATTGTATGTCTTAAATTTGTTTTTTAAATTTCCATATTTGATAGGATTTGTAATATTTATTTATGATGACCTAATATCGTACTGTTATAATCATATCTTTTATGTTATAATGTAAAGTTATTTTGAGCTGTTTGAAACATTGTGAAGCAGTGCAACAGCTACAGTAGTTTCTATAAAAAACTAACAGTAACATTTATATATTGCATCAGGAGTATTTTATTCTATATATAAATATATATATAAATGGAAAATAACTGTCTGTTTTTTAAATATACTCATTTAAAAAAAAGTATTGTTATGACACTATCTGCCATATTTTTTATACATTTGTGATATAAAGTGCAGTATTATACTTCTAATAAAAGGAAGTTGAATGAGGATATAAACGTGACTGTAACAGTATGAATCTTGCTTGGCTATGAGAGCCCAGTATTGTAGGCATTACTCTGCAGCACACTTTGTTTTCTAGATGCTGTTGTTGTAAGACACTTGTACTTGCAAATACACTGTCTTTTCCAAAAGAGATTAACCTGAATGTAAATTTGATGATTTAGCCATAGATGTAGTTAACAGAAGAAGCCAGGCAGTAAGAGCTGAACTTCCTACTTGTATAACAATGCAAAACTGGACATGCTGTTCAGTACTCTTGAGTCATACCAAAGTTCTAACACAGCAAATTCGGCACCACTACTGTAAAAATAAGTAAGAAAGAACAGAATGGAAGGAAGTCATATAGGGTTTGTCCAGGGCTAAAAGTCAGTCTAGTAAATTTGAAAAATTACAAAATAAGAATTCTTTCTTTGTCAATTGCCTGCAAGAAATGTGCATGTGATTTTTCTATAGATATATATGGTATATGATATCTCCTCTATATATGATATATACTGTATTGATATATCATATATATAGCATATAAAAATACAGTAGACATGAAAGGGTATTCAGGTTTTTTCTAAGTTCAGTGGGCATCCAGGAAAGACATTGTGATATTTACTAGTCATCACTGTTGGAGTTTAGCAGCATACTTCAACAATCTCTATTAAATTCACTGCTTGGTCACAGCTAGGTTAGCCCTGCTTTGAAATGGCCTGATGCTACTGAAATCCCTCACAAAAGCGCTGTCCAAGAGAGAGTGGGGCTCTAAGCAGTGTGGTTTTAATGTCTCTTTTAGGGCAGTGGAACTGGGGTTGTTTAGTCTGGAGAAGAGGAGGCTCAGGGGGGACCTCATCACTCTGTACAATGACTGAAAAGGAGTTTGTAGCCAGGTGGGGGTCAGCCTCTTCTCCCATGTCTCAAGTGAAAGGATGAGAGGAAATGCTTTCTCTTGTGCCAGGAGAGGTTCAAATTAGATATTAGAAAATAAAGAAAGTCACTGAAAGAGTGGTTAGGCATTGGAATAAGTTGACCAGGGAGGTATCACTGGCTCTGGAAGTGTTCCAGAGGTGTCTGGATGTGGCACATTGGAATGTGAATTAGAGGTGATTATGGTGGTGCTGGGTTGACAGTTGGACTAAATGATCCTGAAGGTCTCTTCCAAGCTTGATGATTCTGTTTCCCAGCAAGTGGTCAGAGTAGACTCTTCTGTGCTTTGTGGATATGTATCCTTTTGCCTCTGCAAGATTTTTAGATTGTTGGTAAGAGCTTCATGCTGGGGATGATGATACTGAGCTGTATGTGGCTGTTCTTCTTTCTAGCAAGGAAAAATGTTTCCAAAGGATTTTTTTCCTCAGTACCTATGGAGTTTAATCAGGATAATCTCTGACTGTACATATAGCTGTTTAAAGTAGTTAGCAAATCTTCAAAGGTGACCCAAGGAATGTCCAAGTATTTGGTGGCCCGTAGTTACAGAAAGTCGTTTCTACTTCATACTACATTTTCTTCTCCAGTTCAACAAACCATAGTAGATTTCAGTTAAATACTAAATTGTGTTGAATGTATGTAGTATTTTCTTCCTTCTGTTGGAAAGAAATTCCAGCAGCTCGGCCAGCTGGTGCTGGGATGAATTGTGTATTTTTAACTTGGTCTAACTTCCCAATATTTAGAATATTGCTAATGTAATTTTGTCGGGGCTTTCAAAGGAGTCTTATAATAGTGACTGAGATTTGCTGGCTTAATAAAGGGAAGAGAATTACAGAGCAAACTATTTTCTAAGTGTGAGCTTTCCTTTTCACTGGTCTATGAGTCTTGTGCTACATGCTCTATAGATTTACTTAGTATAAAGAAACTTAGTTGAACTACATTTTGTTCTTTGGCAATCTGTTTTGCCTTATGGCATCATTAATGATGTGAATAAAAAGGAAACTAAGTTTCAGAAATTATAGTCATTTTGCAGAACTCAAGCTGCCTAAACTTGTCTATCTGTTTTTGCTATAACTCTTGAGCTCTTTTTAACTGAAAAAGAAGCACCTTAAGCTCATCTTAACTGAAATTGTATTTGTGTCTAAGCTGTCCTTTTAAACTGCCATGTAAATGTATTAACCTAGAATAACATCTATTTTCAGCAGACCTGACCACAGAGAACAGTCCCTTAGAGCTCTTTAATGCTTTTTGCTCCATTTATTGCTGTCCAAGCTTCTTTGCTCCTCCGAGAGGTCACCAGGACAGAGCACTGGGAGAGTTCTTGGCAGGAACTCAGTGGTCCCAGATTTGGTCTCTTCTTCCTAAAATATTCCCCAAACACTCCCCTGTTTGCCAATACTTGTTCTTTTAGATCAATATTAAAACAGGCTTCAAATTTCCAAATGTATGAGACACCCTCAGATTGTCTTTCAGGATGTCACCTTTCTCTCTGCCACACCAACTTGTTTCTGGGAACAAGGCTGGAGTGACTCTTCAAGAAGCAGTGGCCTGTGGTAGGCTTTTAGCCATTCCTTATCATTGCAGTTAGGTCTCTTATCAGATGAATCTTATTTGTCTAAAAAGCTACATACCAACCTTTTTTTTCTTCAGAAGCTGCTGTAGTTGTTAGCTGAGTAGACTCCTGTGTTCACACAGAAAAAAAAAAATATTCTCAACAATTCAGTGCTGTAGACCTCCCTGCAAGAAGAGGGAACACAGATGATACAGCTCTGAAAGCACTGTCGTGATCTAGGTAGCTAAGGCAAAACCCAGCCACTTCTGAGAGGAGCCATGCTCTGGAAGTATTAGGGTTTTCACTCATGTTTCATTTTTTTGTTGTCTTATAATGATTTGATGGTGAGACATGCTTCAAAAATACCTGCATGCAATCAATTCCATATGTTTTGAACACTGTCAGAGTAGAGCTGGGAGAACATCTGCATCCCAGTCACACAAAGAGTAGGAAAAGGATAGCCATATATAATCTACGGCAAATTGTGGGGTGGCAATGAATATTTTTTCCATTCAAGCTAGCATACATAATACATTTGTCAATGGGGTACTGTCACAAACCATGCATCTAGGCTGTTGTTCATGTAAGTAGGCCCACCATTTGAAATAGGAGTGCCACAGAAGATGGTTGGAATGGTGATGTGCCCTATGTAACTATTTTTAAATTACCTTCAAATCAGGACACTATTTAAGAACAGGTGCCTTTCCCTACACAGCTCTTTCTAATGGTGTCATGATATTAATCATTCATTAACTGGGTTTGTAGCGAATGAGGAAAAAAGCCATTTAACTTCTGGCCTTTGTTAAAAAGGGTGTGATTTGAGTAAACCCTTTTAATTTAACACAGCTTGGAAGTTCTAGATGTTGGCACCTTTTTCAAACGGATCAAACAGCAGCATCAATGCTCAGGCTCATCAGGCAAGTGAAGGCTTGTGCACATCACTTGCACTGAAACAGATTTCTCATTTTGCAATCATGAAGCAAATTTCATGGAAATTAGGCAAAGCAAATTTTATAGGAGGTCCTCTTCCAATTTTAGGAGAAAAACTGTGTTAGGTCATCTGTTCTGTGGGCAGACTGTCTTAACAGCTACCATGCAAGACAGCATAGGTAAATCTGATGTATTAGGTCTAAATTGTACTTGCTCTGAGTTCTACTTGGATGCAAATTTATGACCTTGTGCACAACCAATTGTTTGATGCAAAAATTGTCTTTTGACACACTAAGTGGAAGATGCATGAGAGGTGTGAGAGGACCAGCCCCACTATGTTTGGATGCTTTCATTCCACCAAATCATATTGCTGCTCAGGCTCTTTTAGACCATAACTCAAAATATGCAGCTGGGCAAAAATGACTCTTAACACATGGCCCAAGAGTCTGAACAAGGAATTTGACTCTTAGCCTAAGAGTGACTACACATCTCTTGTCTTCTCTGCAAGTCAATCTACCTCCTCTCTCTTGCAGAATGTGGTCAAGGCTGGGTTTTGTTTGTTCTGAGCTTTTTATTGACTCCAACTTTTGAAGAGACATCTGAAAAGATTCTTCCTCTAGGTACTGTTAGCAACCAAGTAATAAAATATTGATGGGCCTTCATCTAAAATACTTCTGAAACCTCCAAGCCATCTGAGCTCTCCCTCTAGAATCCCAATGCCATCCTTTGCACTGCTTTGCAGTCTTCCCTTGCCCTTCCCTTTGTGGTTCTCAAATATTGCAGTTGCCTTGTTCTTTGTTGTTTCTCTAGTGCAGATTTTCAGGGAGTTAGAGGCCTTATCTACTACTCCACCCTGTTTGCTGTTTTACTTAAACAGCTATCCTTAGACTTGCTCAGGATTTTCTTCATTTTAATTTTCCATTTCATTTGGGTGAGATACCTTACCTCATCATGCCCCCGCCAAAACACGCTGCCTGCCAGGTTTTTCGTTCCACCAGGTCTCTGTTTTCACAGGGCGGTTTCTCTGGATCAGTTCTGAGAAATGCAAGGTGGCATCTTAATTGTACAGGCATAGAAATGCGTTGTGAAGTAGCTTTCCATGTCCTCAAGTAGCTTTCCATGTCGTAGAGCTTTCCATTAGCAATGTTAAAGCATATTCATAGCACAAGATGGAAGCCGCTATTCAACTTTCCTATAGGATGTGAACCTCTTGGTGTAAACTCTTGACATGTAAATCCAACGGCAGAGCTTTTAACTGTTTAGTTACAAGGCAGAACTTTAAGCATAAGCATAAGTAACTGTCTCGACTTTCCTTTTTTTTTTTTTTTTTTTTTTACTAGTGCACATCTTAGACTCGTACTACTGAAGGATATGACTAATTGAAAGGAGTAACATTATTTTTGGTTTATATGGAACAATAAACTAAAATCTTCCCTGAAACCATAATTTGGTTGGAAATTCTATGCAGGCATTTTAAAATCTGGTTAAATATGATAAAGACTTCCAGGACTGCTTAGATCTCCACTGTGAAATGCTGAATTTTAAATTTGTGTCATTTGAGAGAAAGAAGGAAGAATGAAGTTTAGGAAAATCTTTTTTTTTTTCCACAAT